AACCCTCTTCACAAACAACAAGCAAAGACAACTACTGAAGTAACTAAAAAAAAAAAAAATATGTAAAGGTGGTCAGCTACATCACTAGGAGACAGTAACGTCTCTTGTGATTTTTCATCTCCAAAATATGACAGTCAGCCCAAAGACAACAGCTTCACAGAGTCACTAAAAAGTGTTCTTCAGGGCAGGCACAAGTGGAGAATTTCTCTCCTCTTACTCAGCATTTCCTTAAGGAAGGGTGGAGAAAGTGGGTAGCCGCAGGCAACAACAGCCTAATTCACAGAACCGAGAATCAAGCTGACGCAAAACATTCTGTTTGTTCCAGGCTTTAGCCACTAGCTGGTTTTAGTTCTTTCCAAATGTTTGCTTAAAAACAGGGTTCCTCAGGGCAAAGCCCTCTGGATCATCAGGATATTGATATTCTGACCCACATCACAGGCCTAAGTTTTAAACTTTTCAATAAAGAAAAAACCCATAACAGTGTAGGCAAGTAGAAAGGATGTATTGTCTGCATCTCAAGTAAACAGAAGCCCTATCACTAAAATTTAACCTGCATACAGTAGCTGAAGATAGGCATATATCTAACAAGCTACTGCTCAGAGGCAAGTGCTGAATGAAATGAAGATTTACATACTCAAATCACTGTTCTCATAGTACTATTCATAAGGAAAGGGGATAATTTAACAAGCAGCACATTTTATAAACCAAGGAATATATTATATACAAGAAGAGAAACCTACTACATGATTTTTACCAAATTTGCAAACCATTACTATCATCTTACTTAAATCCCCACTATAAAACATTTCTCAACACTTTCTAAATTACTTATCTCTCTGTAAACCAAGGAACCACAAACATATCTTTATTTTGTATTCCTTGTCAGTGGTTTTGTGACAGAATTTAACTTTTCATTTGCCTGTTACAGCCAGTTTATAGATGAGGATGCTGCCTTTATAGTTACCAACTGATCCCATAAAAATATGATACGTTTAAGGCATCTGGGATTGGTTTTTATATATTTTTAGAAACAAATCTTCAACTTTTAAACAAGTCACATATAATTTAGGAGACTTCCTTAGGAAACAAAATGATATGAAGAATTGTGTGCTTACAAGTCATTCCTACAATTGTGTTAACACCATTTTGTTATTCTTTAGACCACACAGTCATCCCCCCATCTAGGAATACCTTGGTAAAGGGTTAGTTTGCAGAGCACAGTAGTTTTCTTGTAGCACTGTACCAATAAAGTAACAATTTATAATTGAGGGCATACAACCACAGTAATACAGAGAAGTTTTTGTAAGGAATCCTGGAAGGAATGACTCATGGTCTAAGCACTGGTTACATCGTAACCTCCTCAGGATATGGTCTTCTATCACGTAAGTCAGAGAGTGATGTGCATTGCATACTAAAAGTTTGAAACATTTATAGTGCCACTGGAACTACAGATTGAAATCTATGCAGGATTCTTCTCACCTCCTGCCTCCAAGATACCAATACAAGATACATTTTAGGAGATACTATGCCATTGGAGAATGAATGATCAAATCTTGTATGCTAGCTACATAAATAGATTCACAGCATGCATGCCTTAAAATAATTCATTCCAAAGAGAGAGAGAGAGAGAGAGAGAGAGAGAGAGAGAGAGAGAGAAGTGATCAAATAAATGCTCTATGTTTATCTGTGCTATTTAATGCTGGTCACAGCAAGTACTTAAAAAATTGCATGAGGAGATGCATGTTGTGTGCAGAATAATTTCAGTTATCTTCAAAGTCCCTCTTTCCTATACCCCAAGGGACTATCTACATGAAGAACTCATCTTGTGAATTATTAAATTCATAGACTGTTCACGAGATATTCATAATTGAGCAAGATTGGGGTGGTACCATCAACTCATTTTTACTACAAACTACTGTAACTGGAATTTCACCCTTGAGAATCTACAAAGCAATATAAAAATATTACCAATCTTACTAACAGGTGAGATTCCATTCATACTTCATTCTACCGGAAAATTCAGGACTAATTTATATTATGTTTTTAGCCCAAGTCCTCACTCAGAGAATGCGACTATTAGCAGTTAGCCACAAGCATCAGATTTCCTTCAGTTGTATCTTACAAAATTTGTTGGCCTTAAAAAGAGATGTACCCCTGTGCCAAGTCTTCTGTAAAAAAATGTAGTTTTCATAGCTGGTTTTTCAAAATAAATGGTCTACTCACAATAAAATTCTTACTTTGAAGCCCTAAAAAATAAATCACTCAAATATTTAAACATAATAGTTTTATTTGTGGATAAAAATTAAGGCTCACAGTACTTTATAATTTCACAAGCAGAAAAATCTTAAAAATTGAGAATGATGGAAAGTACCCAAATACAAATTCCTCTTTAAATGTTGACATGTCTCACTGAAGATTTGAAGTGAACGAGGCAGCTACAGTTATGGTTTTGGTAAGCTATTCCATAAATTTATTTTCAACTTTACGTGATTTAGTGTTATGTTCCTCTCCGCCATTAGGCCGTGTATATACATGGATTCCATAAAATATATTCAAGAACTGTTGGGAGGACCCATGTCAACCACACTAAGAATAACCCAATGCTTCAGAAATGTACAGCACAAAAATGCAGGAATATTTTAAGCTTCAGGCATTTTATTTTGATAAGACATTTGGTTTATAGTGCAGTATTTTGACCTAAAGAACTTGAGTATTTATTTTTCTGTTTTAAAAGGGGGAAGAAATATTCCTGAAAAGCATGGGGATTGTTGTCTAGCTCCACTTTATTAATGAAGACCTGAAAAGCAACCTACCACAATCAAAGTGTACCAACTTTAATACACACACACACTGCATACAGGGATATATACTATACCTGTAGTTAAGATTAAACTCTTATGACAGTTTGACTTCCCAATATCTGACATGCAGCAAACATTAGAAATAATCTGTTCAAATATTCTGTCAAACACTTAAGGGTGAAGTCAGATGAAAGTGCTATGGACATAGAATTGTGTATTATATAGGTCTCTGAACTGCCTTATGAGACTACATATACATATATAGTCTCAAAATATATATTATACACACACACGCGTGAGAAAAACGCCTTACTCTTAAATTAAGAGATATTCTCTAATTTTGATAACAATCCTTCCCCATTTTCCCCTATTTACTGGCAAAGTCTAATTTAGCAGGGCATTCACAGAGCTGGTGGCAGCTGCAATGCTAGCAAGTTTACTCACAATAAGCAATGAAGGATATGTAATTAAAGAGGTACCCTCTATTGCACACCAAATTGTGAATGTCCTACTTGTGCTTGTAACACATTATGCATGAGACAGTACCAATCATGAAAATAACCATCCTCAAAAGTTAAAAATATAGTACAAGGACATAATTTCATCATTTTTTTTTTTTAATTCAACTACCAGAGAGTTTGACTGGTTGTTTTGAATAGAACCATAAAAGATTTAAAATATTTTGTCTCACTGAATATTTGTTAATTTTTAGTCATTCAAATAACTCTAATTTGAGTTTTTACAGATCAGATTCTGATAATGTTACATTACATATATACAAAATAAAGTTAGTAATTATATAATACCTGACCTACACAGCAGTTTCCACTTAAAGAGCTCAACTGTTCTGGAAGAATGGGTGTTCTATTATACCCAAGTGAGACAACTGAAGCATGTTGGAAGTTAAGTTTACACAACTTCCCTGTGGTTTTTGAAGATGCTGGTAGCAGAGTTGGGACAGGACACCAAGTCATATGCTCTGGTCTCTAAAGCCTGTTGCCTTCCTTCCGGTTGTATCTAAGTCAGGTAGTCACAAGAATTTTCAAAAAGCTGGAAGAGCTGCAATGATATACCACCCTGCATGATACACAACACTCAGCTGGCTTGGGCAAGAGTACATTAGGTACAGCTGACTTGCCCTAAAGAATAAAGATGAAAAACTGATTTTTTACAGTATGTTTGTGCAGTAATACTAAAAATAGAGAAATTGCAATTAGAATATTATGTTAAAACTTTTACCCACTATTATTCCAGTTCAAGAATCTATAAGGAAAAATGTCTTATGAATTATCATGCTTTATAGAATATATTCAACAAATATAACCAAACCCCATAAAAATAAGGTTATTTCACAGCTGAATGAAATACAACTGTTTAAAAAATGGTCATTCAAGAAAATGAACCTAACTACATAATTAAGGTTCTAGCCCTGCACGTATCTAGTAAAGCTGCTCAGGTCAGGACCTTCCATAGCTATAAAAATAAACACTTACAAAAAGAGGACTGCAGCTATACCCAAGTGATCAAAAAACTTGACCTTTTAACCGAGACATACTAGAGAAGCATGGGTAGGGTTCGATGTTAATCGCACCCTTTTTATGAGTTATTGCTGACTTTACTAAATAAACTGCAGTACATAAAGGACTGCATTAATCGGTGTTCTGACTGGCTAAATCACCTCCACCAAAGTAACTCTACACTAAATGAGATGCTAATCTTTAAAAACAACCCCAGAAAACAAACCAACTAGATACAACATATACAAATATTTCCCCATAAAAACAAAATTTCTAGGAAACAAACTTCAAAATATAAACAAAAGCACTTGGCCAAGCCATGGAACAGGGGGTTGATCATTGTGTAGGGGTTTGAAACTGAAAGCTTAAGCTATGATTTAAAGATCTGGGGTTTCTGACAAGCCATTTAAAATTTCATTCCTATTATTACCATTTTTTCTGGACACTCTGCAGACTTAAATATTGTCTGCAATTTTATATATGTATATACAAGTTAAGTGTATATCAAAGTTTGATGAGACATGTTTGTCACCTACATACATGTTTAATCTTACAAAGAGCGATGGAAGGAGTGAGCATAGAAAGATGGAAGGTCATTTCATACTACTTTAGCATCACTCTTTTGGAATTCAATATTATTGCCATGGGCTAATACTTCAAACAGTACATAACAGGCTTAACAGTACACAACAAACAGATACACATTAATTCCACAACTCAACAGTACCCACTATTCCATTTGGCAAAATATTTATTTATAATAAATCTGTTCAAAAGCAGTTGGTCACATTAAGTATTCATATTACATTTTTAGGCTGTAACAATGAGTTTGTTAAAAGTAAATAAACTGTCTCTTACACAGTGTACAAAAACAAAGAGACATTGAAATGACAGTAACAATAAAACACATGAAAACAGGGAGAATCAGTAAGACAAAAAGGCAAAAGCAATATGAATTCATCTGCACACAGGCAATGCTGCCATGATTATTTACCCGTACAAATCCTCAGCCCCACTTAGTTATGCCCAACAGCTCTTAATTGCAGATTTATGCTCCAGGAGAGGAATCGGATGTGATGTAGCAGCTCCAGTCACTTTTCACAGTACTGCATGTCAACACTGGGAATGGTTTCTGATATAATTTAAACTGCATACAGTACTTTAATAGAAAAAAAAAGTTAATTACTCCCACTCAGTAGTTCCTGGTGGTTTTGATGTCAAATCATACATCACGCGAGAAATACCAGGAATCTTCTTAATTTCTGTCACCATTTTCAACACAACCTGTGATTAAGAGGAAAAAAAAACAATACTTGATGCAACAGACTTTGGAAAAAATGGTACCCAAGAAAAATGGAAACATTTAAAATGTTTAAAAATGTTCTTTTCTAAGGCAGTTTGCAGGCAAAACAGAGAAACCTACAACCTATTAAGTTATTAATAAGAACCAAATAAATTATCCCAGCACTTAATTTGTGGCCATCCTACAATTAAGGCTTCTACTTAGTAACCAACAATAAAAATGGATGCATCTTTTCTTACTAGAAAAGTAATTTAAAAAAAAAATGTTAAACAGTAGCAGTTTAGGTACCTGTAATATACTACAGCATTAACTTTGAGCAAACTACAAAATATAAAGTGTATTCTTCACCCTTTACCTCCAGTAAAGCCCACTATCCCATAAAAACAGAAGGCTTAGTAAGGTGGTGAACTCTGTAGATTAACAAATAACCTCAGTTGGAACAGGGTAGTTTCAAGAAGAAAAATTTTCTCCATTGGGAGTCACCTGCCCTCTGGAGTTCATATCTAGTTATTAACAGGAGTGTTCCACACTGGGTATTAAACAGCAATTTGTTAATTCTATAGGAAAGTCTTATCTTCGTAAAATGAGAAAAGTCTCCATATAAATGTCTACAATTTGAAGCGGAGACCATAAAGTCATATTTTAATCTCAGTATTTTCTTACTGCATGTGGCACATTAAAGATACAGAATGATGCAACTACTCAGCACAGCTCTCTTGGAGCCCGTGAAACTTTTTAAGCAATTGCAATTATTTTTTTCCCCTATATGTATACATTTCATCCACAGTTAATGCTATGTTATTAGTGATACTGCACAATATTGTGACAACCAAGCTATATATAAAATGCACCTTTCAAGAGTATATTAGAGAAGTATACTCTCAATGAAGACAAACCTCAATTTTGTATGTTCCAGCAGTTAAAAGTAGAAACTTTGAATCATCTCTTCTTGAAAGCCCATTTAAAAGGCATTTCTGAACATTAAATAATTTACACTCAGAGTTATACTGATTATACAGAAAGAGTTTATAAAGAATGTTTTAAGTGTGAATTATCAATGAAATAATGACAGATCCTTAAGAAAGTGAAACCTCAAAGTGAGGGCAACAACACTACTCGCATGTAATAGATTTTTTAATAAAAGTTCAAACACATTACAGGAATGACCAAAATTTGGAAAAGCTTGTAATTTGGGCTCCTAAATCCTGGTTAGGCACTTAAATAGAAGCCAACATTTTGAAAGAACTGAATATCTACAGCTTTCAAGTCAGATCAGTTGGTACTAGGGACACTCAATTTTGAAAAAGGTAGGCTACTGATAATTAGTGACTTAACCACCTAAGCTTTATGCGCTCAACCTCGAAAATATTACTGGTTTCCTCCAAAATAGAGCATAAATCAAACAAAATAAGCTGCTGTCAAATACTGAAGAGCACTTACCAAGAACTTAAGATATAAAATCACCTGGGGCAGGGAGGAGAGGACAGGGAGAAAGACAACTGAAGGCCTTTTCCATATTCCCAAGCCACGCCAGGAAAGCAGAACTAAAAAAAAGAAATATTACCTCTTCTGGAATCTCATTGCCAGGAGTTGCTGCAATACCAGTCATGAAGTCACTAGTAATAAAGGTTCGAATAACCACAGATCTCTGACAGGAAGGCTGCTTCTGAAGGGGGTCTCGGTCAAAATGCAATGGCGTCAGAATTATTGGCATTTGGCTGATTTTTCCGGCATAACCTTAAGGGAAGTGGTGATAAAGGGGTTTAGTTAAACATATTCATTAGTTACCAGTGTAGTCTTTTATAGCACCTCTTAAACATTGAATATTTGGTTATAAAGTAAATCTTGGTGGCTACAGTTTGAAAAGGTGTGCACACATCCTCAGAGAAAAATGGAATGCCAGGTGCAAGAGAAGGACATGGTTACCAAAACCTGAAATCACATTAAGGTGTTATCATACAATGACATTAAATTGCTTTCAGTGGTGTTTTCTGTACAGTGAAAAAGTGGAGATTCTGTTTAATTCAGTCCATTAGGATTGTATCTAGCAATTTATGCCATGCATTTTTCAGTGTTTAAAATAAAAGTATACCATCTTACTAAGTAATGTTGTTTTGAAGAGAAACAGCGCTAATTCCTGCAACCAGTATACCGGATTGGATTAAGGCCAAATGCTTACCAGACTCCCTGAGAATATTATGAGCCTCAAAATCAGCTTGGCGTAAAGTACTGAGAACTCCTGTGGTCAGGAAAGTAGGTGTTACATCTGTAGGAGGTTCTTTGACTGGCGGACCAAACACATAGACAACTCTGGGAAGATAAAGAAATTGTAGGAAAATATACTATACTGCATGCCTAAGGAATGAAATAGGGATCTTGCAGACTGCATCCTTCAGTGTTGTAAGGAAGATCATATGATGAAGAAACAGACTAGGGACATTTACTTTAGGAGTGTATCCACTATACAGAGCTTAACTAAAACTATTCAAATTTCCATATACCCAAAATATGCATTTGTATTATTTTAAATATAATTTTATACATTTTAAATCTCTTAGAGAATGGTAACTTTTTGGCTTGCTTGCTTACTCCTTTCACATAAATAAAAATAGCCAATTACTGATGTACAGTATTACCCATTCACTGAGGTTGTTTAAAGTATTTTATACTTTTTAGCCAAGATCAGTGAAATTTACTGCCATTCCAATAATGCTATTAAATAAGCATTTTAAAACTTATTTTCACTGCTTCAGGAGACTTCAAAAGACACTGTAAGGAGGTAATCTCACAGTTTGAGAAAATAATGCCCTGCTACAAATGCATGACTACATCGCTATTTAAAATCTTGAGAGGATTATATTACATTAAATAATTCAAACTGGTTATTAATATTGACTTCCATGTAGGTACCATATTAAAAAAGTAAAACATGTATTGGATGAGCTCCATAAATATAAAAAGAGAAACTTGTGTACTACAGAATGTTTTATGGATAGCCTGTAATAACTAAAGTCTCCGGGAACAAAAGGTAAGAGAAAAACTCCTCCTTAGAACAGGTGACAAATTTCAATTTGGGTGTTGTCCTCCATTTTTAGTGTATGTTGTTTAGACATGCATACAGTTTTAAGCATCGGGCAAGATCAGGCCCATTTCATAGTGTCATCTGGCCCGTGGGGCTCCCCATGGGTCCAGAAATTTAGGGTCAGGAGAGCAATAGTACTGCTCCCCAACTGCCAGATTCTCAAACCAACACACAGGAAGCCCTGGATCTAGCTCTTGATCCTGCCAATCCTGGCGCACGGCAGCCTCACAGGACCCAATCCCAGCAAATGGAGGGGGCAGGCAGGGATGGCACCAGGCCTGCAGAAAACATGATGCAGCCTACAGACAGGCTCTATGCCACCTATCTGGCCTAGACAGCCAAAAGATTTTTTTTCTCTTTTGGATATATCACACACATACATACACATACCCACACCCACCAGGCAAAACTAAAATAGGTCTAAAGCTCAAAACATGGGCAAAAATGCATTTGTACAGTTCTATTTGTTTGGTTACAGAACAAAAAATCTGTAAAAAAAACTTAAGAGGTCAGGAAGCTAAATACTATATTTCATTGTACTACTCAAAACATCAGCTGCCTCATCTCCCTTTAAAGCCCCAATAAACATAAAAGGAAAAAGATTAGAACCTTGTTTTGGGTACCGCACACCATCTAAAGGTACAGTATTCAACTATGCACTCTATAAAAAGGATATTACACCCTCACATCTAGGCTAAAACAACATTAAGGGCACCTATACCTGAGCACAGAGGTTTCTGCAATGCACTGGAATTCTAGTGTGTCAGAGCAGACTCGATAAATCAAGCCGGCTGGAGCTTGGCAACTGAATTAACACTCATCAAATAGGCTCTAGTTCAAGCACCCCTGCCACCATTTTTAAGCATGAGTTAAAGATGAGACATGGTGGAGCTTTAGAGTGATTCTCAGAACTGCTCCAATTAAAGCACTGGAGCATGTGTAAAAGTGCCCTAAACGGTGCAAGTAAAACACTTACAATTTTAGGAAGCATCAGAAATAAGTTTGCATAGGTCCCTCTAATGCGCCTTTTTTCTCCCCCCGCTTGCATGTGTTGTTAGACACTATTATACGGTTTCATTTTTTCATAGCATCTGCTGCCTCTCAGTGCCCTGCCTAATGAGTTAATTATTTTTTCTCCTCCCCATTACTCTGTATGTGGCACTTCACTGCACACTAGTCAAGACAAAAAACTCATGGGCATTTTTATACATGCAAGCACTGCAGTGCTGGGTGCTTTGAAAAGCACCTGGTGCTGCAATGCCTACAGTTGTATAAGTGGTGAAATGCAAGTCAGCGCTGAGAAAATAGTGGTGGCGTGCTTTTGAACTAAATCCCCTCAGAGGTGCTTTAGTTCAAAAGTGCACCGCCACCATTTTCTGCACACTGATGTGCATTTCGCTGCTTATACAATTATATGCAGTTTAGCACAGTTTGCATGCGGAGCAGACTTGAGTCTGCTCCAAAGCAGATGATCTCTGGTGCATCGCAGGAAAAAAAAAGTATGTGAATAAATGCCCAATAAGCCTCATTATAGCTCTTATTACTAAAATACTGCAATATCCCTGTGAGGTGAAGGTGTGGCAGTATGCCCATTTTTCAAGCGGGGATACAGAAACAGATTAAAATAAAAATTTTCCCCACTAATTTTGTTGCTCAACTTGAGACCCTTAGATCCAGATTTTTCAAATCACTTTGGATGTTCCAAACACAGCTCTAACAGGCCTCAGTTAAAGATGGGAGTATCCAGAATTTCAAGTCACACTACAGCATCTCAAGCACTGCAGCACTCAGAAAGCAAGGAACAATTAGCAAACGCTCAGAAGTTTGGTTTAAGTGACCTACCTGCCAGTCATCTCACATGAACTCTTCAGCCAGGCAGGAACAGAACCCAGTTCTCCAAGGTAAGACCCCACTGTCTTAACCATGATACCAGCATTTATTTTCTTGCAGTCACCCTACATACCCTTCCACTTGCACAGCAAAGAAGACAGTGTTCCTCTAGATCAGTGCTTATCAACCTATTTGCCATAGTGGGCTACACTTTCAGGTCTCAATGTGTTACGTGGGCCACATCCCACAGCTGAGGGGGCCCCCAGCTGCCACAGCTACGGGACCAGGGCCAGGGCCAGGGCTTACAGCCCCCTACCTGCCCCCTCCATCCTCCAAGCAGCGCCTGAGCCCCAGCTGCTGCCCACAAGAGGTAGTGGTTGCTGCAGCCAGAGTAGAGCGGAAAGCTCAGCTCCACCCTACCACGGGCAGCATGGCCAAAGCAAAGCCCATGGAGGGGGGGGCAGATGCAGGCTTCCTGCAGCAGGCTCAGGGCTCCCCGCTCTGCTGCTCTCCCCCTGGGGCTTCACAGCCCAATGGGCAGGAATAAAAAGTTAAGTGCTGGTGGGAGGGGAGGCTTGGTGCCTCTGCCAGGAGCCCCATGCTGGCCACACTGCCACAGCAAGGCACCCCCTGCCCAAACAGCAGCAGTGGCGGTGCAGGTTATACTACTGCCAGGTGGGCAGGGGCACCAATCCTCCCTGCCCTGCTTTGTTGTGGAGGCCACAAGGAAGAGCACACCAGGGCAAAGAGAGCCCTGAACCTGCAGCGGGCAGCCTGCATCTGCCCTGACCCCATGCACAAATCTGGGGGGCATGTGGCCCCCAGGCCTCCCTTCCCAGGAGTGCATGCAGCAGCAGGGAACTACTCCTTCCCATCCCCGCCCAGATGAGCCTTCTGTGGCTCCATCCCAGTTCCCGAACTGCCCTAGCGCATTCCTTCGCTGGCCCTCACGCACCGTCCTGGCTGGGCAACACCCCTAGCACTATTCTATTCCTTCTCTGTGGGGGCCTCAATCCCTGCCCTCCCCCCACCTAGACTTACCTGAAAGGGAAGTGGCTGCCACATGTTCCACATTTTTCTTCCTGACTAATGAACTGCAGGTGGCAATCTTTCCTTTTTTTTTTTTTTTTTTTTTTAAAAAACAGGTGGTCATACAGCAGCAGTGTGCCGATAGGGCTGCATGCAGCCCAGGGGTTGAGAACCACTGCTCTAGATAAACTGCATTGCTGGTTTTTTAACCCAAATCAGGTCTACTACTGAAAACCCTGATTCTTTTCCTTAACAGCAAAAAAGTATCCAGGACAAAATAGTGTGTAACCAAATCAATAGATTTCATATTTCACAAGGGAACCGAGTGAAGTTTTTACCACAAAGTGAAAGCAGTCTTAAAAATGAAGTGTCAGGCAACCAAGCCTCATCAGCCAGGAGGGATTTACTTAGAAAATGTTAATGCCGACTCCTATATTGTATAGCCTAGGGAACCCAAAAACATTTGTTTCAAGTCAAACTGTCAACAATTAGCTTCAACAGCAAGAACTGCTATGTTCCCTTCTACAGATTTTCATAAAAAATACGCCCCTAGAACTTTCTGCTAAAATAATACGTAGAGGGAATTCAATAGTTTCACAACGTACAATGAAATGGCTTCAAACATCCAAAAGGCTAGCAACATTTCTATGCTTAACAGACGTTTTCCAATAGGTGAGATTAATATGTAGGACTGGCCCCTCACTATTCCCATTAAAATAAATGAGTTCTACCACTTTTCCCACAATGCTCTTATTAAGCCGACATGGCCTTTCTAAATCCCAAACCAATGTATCTATGGTTCCTTTGGGATACTGTGCAAGACAGGAGACCGTCCAGAAGGATGAGATCTTGGATTAAATTATACAAGCTTTCATAACAGATAGGAGGAATGAGGGGAGAGGAGGAGGAAGGACAGATTGGCTTACTGATGAATTTAGCTATTCAAAGATGTATAAAGTTATGTATATATTAAAAATACAGTGCAATTACATTTAAAAGAAAATTATGCTTTGTATTTTCAGTTCTCAGCTGCTAAAAGTTTAGTCTAATTTTTTACCTTTTTACACAAAAAAAATAGTAAACAGATTGCAAAAAATGTCAATGAGAGACTGAATTAGGATTATATACCTATTTATGTTGTGGCACATGCGTGGTATGAGCCTGGCGAGGAACATGAGAGATTCCCAGTGTGGAGCATCCTTACTGGAGATCCCACATACATAACTGTATGAGCGGCAGTCACCCTAGAAGGTAATAAAATTGAACAACTGAAAGTTTAGTGTAAGCTTGTAAAACAGAGGCCTAAATTTTAGCCAATGTCCAACTGACAGCTGGATACTGCTGAAGTCAACATGACAGCATACATGCAGCTTAAGACAGAATATGATCCTGGATCTACAAAGCGCTATTTTTAATAACCTGGATATCAGAAGGGCTGTAGAAGAGCCATTTTAAATAATCAGATTCAGCAAACTTAAAGAAGGGCATTTCAGCCTCATCTTTTAAGGTTGTTGTCCATTTAAAAGTTAGATACGTAACATTTTCATTTTTCAAAATTCAAAATAATTTGTTGATACTAAAAAAAACAAACGTCTTAAAAATGTAACCACTGCAAATATTCCAAAGTCATAATTTAGTAACTGGTCAAGTTTGCTGAATACAAACAGTCAAACTACAGAACATCAGGCTCACACGCCTCCTTCTACCAATAACATTCATTAAAATCTTTCTAAACAATAATTTAACAGTAAAAACAAATCAAAGAATAGAGAGGCATTTATAAACCAAAAGTGTATCCTTGTTGTGAAGAAGGCTAACAGCATTCTGGGCTGCATTAGTAGGAGTGTTGCCAACAGATCAAGGGAAGCGATTATCCCCCTCTATTCAGCACTGGTGATGCTGGAGTACCTGTGTTCAGTTTTGGGCCCCCTACTTTAGAAAAGATGTGGACAAATTGAAGAGAGAATCCAGCAGAGGGCAATGAAAATGGCTGGGGCACATGACTTTTGAGCAGGGATCCAGGTTTTCCATTTCCGATGGAAAAACAGAGTAAACCACGGATTTTGCTTTTTTACCAGAGGCAAATACAGATTTCTCATTTTACCAGAGAAACCCACAGATTTTGCAGTTTTGCAGTGAGCTCCCTGCAGGCTGGCTGAGTTCCAACCTGCAGGGAGCTGGGAGGGAGCAAGAGGAGGGTGGTGAGACAGGGGGCACCACTGCATGGATATGCACATGGTCCCAGGCAGCCTGCAGAGCAGCTCCAGCAGGTAAGTGGAGGGTGATGCAGGGTGGAAGGGGGATTGAGGGCCCTGTAGGAAGGGAGCTGGGCAGGGTTGGTGCTGCTGCCTAGCCGGGTGGTGCTTAAGGCCTGGGGCCACAATACACAGCTGCAGGGCCCCAGCAGGGAGCAGGACAGGGCTGTGGGTGGCTCTTCCAGGGAAGGGAGAGGGCTTCCCAGGGCACAGGAAAGGCCTGTGCCACCCCAGATCTGTGCATCAGCAGGTGCAAGCTGTAGGCTTGGGCTCCTGCCCTCCTTCCCTCCCCGGGGGCCTCTGCAGCCTGGTGGGCATGACCCGGCACAGCAGGGAACAGCTGGGCACAGAGATCTCCTCGCTACTGCGAGCCCCCGCCTTCCCCCTGGCAATGTGCCCCCTGTGAGTGCTGCTGCTTTGAGGCCACAGCAGGCAGCAGAGGGGAGCAGGGTCAGGGGGCTGTGGACCCAGGGGCCCCCTCTGACAGGCCTGCAGGGGGGGAGCAAGAGGCATGAGCAGGGCCAGGAGGTTGTGGGGGGCCGTTAATTTTAACCAGGTATTTTAGGGGGTTTGAGATTTTTTAACAGCATATGCGATTTTTTTTTAATCAGGGAAAACCAGGATATACTTATGAGGAGAGGCTCAGGGAACTGGGTTTATTTAGCCTGCAGAAGACTGAGGGGGGATTTATTAGCAGCTTTCAACTACCTGAAGGGGGGTTCAAAAAGAGGATGGAGCTAAACTGTTCTCTGTGGTGAGAGGTGACAGAACAAGGAGCAATGGTCTCAAGTTGCCTTAAGGGAAGTTTACGTTAGATATTAGGAAGATTTTTCTCACTAGATGGGTAGTAAAACACTGGAACAGGTTACCCAGAGAGGTGGTACAATCTCCATCCCTGGAGGTTTTTAAGACCCAGCTAGACAAAAAACTGGCTGCGATGATCTAGTTGGGGATGGCCCTGCCTTGAGCAGGGGGTTGGACTAGATGACCTCCAGAGGTCCCTTCCAACCCTCATTTTCTAAGATTCTGTGATTTAGTTATGCTGCGTTGCTCGGCCACTCGAAGTTATTAACAACAAAATCTAAAAATGTAAGAACATACACCCCTTATTGGCCTTTAAATGCCACTTAAAATAATATCTAAAAGTGCTATATTAATGCAAATTTAAAATGACACTTATTTAGGTTAAACAAGAAACTACACCTCATCTCAGAACTATTAAGAATGGATACAATCAGATACTGGTAGTTCACCAGTCACAACTGTTCATGCAGTTTCCTGTCAGTGATAGTTATGTTCTGGAGTTTTCAATTTTACACTGTTTAAAAGCAATGCATCTAAGTTTTAAGCTTAAGTTCTTTGAATATGCTTAGTTTTGTTCTTTGTTTTTAACCAAAAATGAGCTAATAAATGGTTTGGCTCAACTGTTAGATCAAATGATCCCTTTCAAATAACAAATCTGAATCTTGTGGCACAAAATATGACTCCTGTTATTCACACCCCAGGGAATTAGAAAAATTCAAAATTATGCAAAGAAAAATTCAAACGTTATGCAAAAGTAATTACTTTTACAAATTAAACTAAATATAGGACTATTTGAACCTTCTTCAGAAATATTTCTTTAGGTACTCTGTATGGTTGGAGGATGGGTATAGGGGAGCGTATGGGGCTGTGGGTGGATGTGAGGCAGTGGGAGTTGTGGTCCCCCCTTCCACATGCTTCTCCCCCCATCCCTCCCAAGATGCAGTCCCTGCCACCAGCAGCTCAAGAGCAGGTGGCAGCCCCCCATGGCCACAGCAGGCATAGCACCTGGTGGCATGAAGCTCTGCCTTAGTCCCAGGGGCTGCACGTTGCAGCAGAGTTGGCCTGGCTCTCTGGTGCATGCCTTTGAACCAGACCAGGCTGGCTCCATGCCAGCATGTGGGGCTTTTGGCACTGCAGGCAGGGGCCCCAGACCATCATGCTGCACTGGCTCTACGCCTCCATGTGGGGCTTCTAGCACTCCAGCAGGAAGCCGCATATGGAGGCATGGAGCCCGCCTGGCCTGATAGCACGTGATTCCATGCCTCCACGTGTGTGTTCCTGCTGGAGTGCTAGAAGCCCCATGTGGAGGCACAGAGCTGGCTGACACTGCCCCATGGCACATGGCCCACATCCCCACACCCTCCACACACACTTGCAGGAAGGAGCTCCCCTCCCCACTTACCAGCTGCTCCCTCTTGTGCCACCACACTTGGTGCCTCCACGTGGGGCTCCCAGCTAGAGTGCCAGGAGCCCTGCAGAGGTGGAGGCACAGAGCCTGCTGGGGTTAAATTACACAAAATTATGCAATTATGCGCAATCATGTCTTGTGCACAAAATTGCATGGACACATCATTGCATAATTCCCCAGGGTGTAGTTATTTAATTTAAGGACTTCAGATAATCCTAGATCCTCAAACAGGATGCCCAGATCTTACTTGATTGACTATCCAGATGTCTAAATGTTTGCAGACTAGTAGAATTTAAAAATAAAACTGATACCACCAAGGAATTCCATTAACCCTTCTGTTCTGGGATATGCAGACATGCCATTTTTTTTTATTTTTACTTTAACAGCATTTATTTCTTGTGCCATGCTGCAGCTTTCAGTCTACAAATAAGCACTTTTCAAAACATCATAGAACCACTCCACTAACCTGCACTCCCACAGTTTTGATTGGCAGCAAAAAGGCATTTAGTGAATGTAGGCTTGTAATCTGCATCAGTTTTTCCTGGTCCTCTTCAGTTGTGCATGCTTTGACCCTTTGTAACAGAGTATGTGGCTATGCAGTGAAGCAGAAAAATAAGTATGTAAGATCTGTAAAATGATTCATTCAAATACAGTTTATGTAAAACCTTTTAGGAGGCCAAAATATTTAAGTTTATTTTACAGTTATGGCAGCTTTTATGTACTGGAATGCTATCCACAGTATACTCTATTAGCCCCTGTATTGGTAACTTGACTGATAGTCAAGCAGTAGGTTTTTAATTGCAGTCTTTCAAAGTGCTAGATTAAGTTATTTTCCTTTCTGTTTGCTCTTTAAAACTTTTCCTCACTACACAACGTTTGTGCTATTTCTTCCCAGATGCAGAACATTCCAGCAATCAGTCACAGGCTTGGCTGCAAAGTTAAACTGATGCATTCCATCTAGAAGAAACAGCAAACACCAGCAGCCAATTTAAGGTTTTTCAACCACAATGAAGGTGCAGCCGAGGTAATTATTGTCATGGCTGCAAACAGAAGGAAATTATATATTGCTTATTTAGTCTAGCATGCCAAATTCTTGCCTATGACAGCTGACAAATAGATCAGACCTTTATTTCTCACATGGTGACCTAGGTGTTTGCTGACCACAGTCAAGCAAATGTAGAAGACTACAACCTTAAGAACCAACAACAGCTTCTTTTTTTTTTTTTTTTTTTTTTTTTTTTATAATAATTACATCACCAGAAACATCTTCAAACATGTTGTCAGCAAGCGATTTTTAGATTAGGTTTGTTTAATCGACAAACCTAATCTAAAACACTCTGCTGTCTGTGAAGTAATACTCCATCAACTTTATCTTCCCCAAAAAGCTATTTATTGTTTAAATAATTGTTAGGGCGCTAAAAATTCTAACTACACAAAAACTATTCAAATTCATACAAATTAGGAAAAAACATTTATCAAAAGTAAACAAGTACTACTTATAGTGGTTAAACATCACTGTAATTTTCTAAGGCATTAGTTTGCATGTTGCTTTTACATTCTTATTGGGTACCATATTTTATTACCTTTTTAACACTGGCAGAAAAGTCTGCTACTATTTTCAAAATATTGTTAGTTTCAGGAAAGTCTTTGCAAATATAAGGTTCTTCAGCACATATTACTCTGATGGCTAGGCCAGGACCTGCAAAAGAAAGCAAACATACTAAACTGTAAAGCACAAATAAAATGTAATTAAAAATTGTTCCAGAAGAAAATCTGAAGAGACTGTTATATCAGTAAATATAATGTATTCACTTTACTACTGTATGTTCAAGTTAGTTGGCTTGGCAACATTTTTAATCAAAATATATACCAAGTTTATTATGAAGCAAGACTAATCTAACTTTTGTTATATTCATATATCATTTACATGTGTCTGAAATTGGGTGGTTGAATCAGGCAGAGTTAGTAATGCTGAAGTGGACACCAAGCAAGAAAAAGGGATACAAACAGACACCCGCCACCTTGTGTTATATATATCTTATATGAAGGAGCTGGAATTTGAGAAATGATGCAATTACTTTGTTCAAACTACTGAATGCAAAGTTGTATGACCTTATCATCATTTAGCACAAAATTGACTAACTTGGTTTGATGTGTTTTAAAAACCCCTCTTGTAGTTCAACAGCAGCAGTAACTCCTAAACTAATTCACAATCCAGACTAGTCTTACTAGTTACTAACTACTAATGCAAAAGTAACAGTAACACTACCTATTTCTTTACATATTTTTAAAATAATGAAATTACTTTTAAAGGCTCTTTTACTTTTTATACTATATAAACTTGCTTTTAATATCTTGACATGAACTGTTGCTATCTTTTATAGTAATTTATTTCTACAAAAAGAACTACTGCCCCTGGGAAGGAAAAAAAAGACAACATACACCAGTGTATCTAGCTTGGAATACTGGAAAGTACAAACAGTGTTAATGCAGTTTTTGGCTTACCAAGTTGAAAGAAAAATAATTACTATATACAGGAAAACAAATTTTTTTTTTTCTCACTATAAATAGTAAACTTGGTCTCTTCTGGGAAATTTTTCATATCCAGAAAAGCTGCTGCTTAGGTATAAAGCCATGGTAGATGCAACCAATCTGTTTCTATATTGTAGACAAGAATCCAAATGCCAATATAAAATTTATTCTGAAAATTAAATACCTTTGGCATGAGAATACTACTGCTGGATATAATTCTTGACTTTCAACAGATACCTTTAACTAGCTCCCATACCTGGGAATGGATGCCTTGAGACCAGCTCTTCGGGAAGACCAAGTTCTCTCCCTAGCACTCTCACTTCATCCTTGTGGAAGTCTTTCAGTGGTTCTATCACTTTACCCTACACAGAAAACAAGAAAATAAATTTATATTTAAGTTTCTACTTTCTAAATTACTGAAAACACTGCAACTCCCAATATTTTTTGACAAAACGTACTTTAGTCAAATTTACGTGGTGAAAAATGGACTGCTGGCATGAATAATGGAAGCAGAAGTACATAAGAATGAACCTTTAAGAAAGATATGTAATAAAGAAAAATACATTTTAAAAAGGAAAGAAAAAATGTGCTAGTTATCCTAGGCCCAAGTTGGTTAATTACCTTGTAGATTTGGACCAAGATCTTGAATTTGCCAACACACGGGGTGGTGAAGACCTCAAGACCAGGCATACTGCATTCCTACAGTCCAACCAAGATGTAACAAATACCCAAGACCAAGTTCTCATTCACCAAGAAGAGCCAATCTCCTAGCCAACTGCTAATGGTAGAAAGTATTACTTGCAGGTAACGTCTATGTGAAGACTTTGTTCTAGTGAGAAACCCAGGAGGCAATGGAAAGAACTGATCAATTTTAACTGGTTTCAACCAAAGTGACTACACTGTGGTTGTAAACTCATTTTTCTTCTGCCTACCACCATCCTAACTTCAGTCTTATTTAGGTTCAGCTTCAGTCAGCTGCTTTAATTAAACAAATTCAGGTATTGGGCCTTTTTTTTTTTTTTTTTTTTATAGCAGCATGGTTCTATGTGATGAAAATGAGTTAAAGCAATATCATCTGCAAATTAGTGGCATTTAAATCCATGTCATTTGACCAGTTCACCTAGTAGCTTCACACAGGTGCCAAAATGGACTAGAGAGAATTAATCCTTGTAGAGTTTTACAGGTGAATGGGTTTATAGTGGCAGAGCAGTTTCCCATTACTACTTATTGGGCAAGTCCCTCCAGAAAGGATTAAAACCATTTTAGCGCATTGTTCCAGAACTCTCAAGCAAGACAGAGTCCATGATTAATACTATAGAAAAGAGTTAGAAACATGAGAATGAGTGTTTGGCTCTGTCACCTGATTTCAGGAGATCATACTACTACAGCAGTTTTAGGTCAAAGGCCTTGAACAATATATATTTAGGTCAGGACAAGATATTAAACATCAAATTAGATGAGCTTGTAGTTGGCCTTTGGCTAACTTTCTGGGCAAATTAAAAAAAAAATGGTTTAACAGCAGGCAGGGACAGACATACCCAGGTTGGGGAGCTCCAGCATTGGTTGGATATTGAACATCTGAATGCAGGAGAGGGGCTTTCTTCTTTGAATGAGGCATTTAGCTATTTTCTAGTGGTATCTAGATGATCATAATCTACAGAAGTTGGCTGAAACTGAGCCCGAGTAAGGAAGAAGTGAACCTAGTAGACAAGTGTAGGTCATACATGCATCATAGGCCTGTGTAGTATGAGTTATGGGTAACAGGTAGTGTCATGTTACAACCTGACCTAAGTTTGACTTAGGTAGCAATGAGGAAGGTTAAGCAGTCACTGTAGACACCGATTAATAAGGCGCATTAACATAAGAAATTGGAAAAAAGGACTGGCATAGCCCCAAAGCATGGTTAAACTATGCAACTCTGGACTTCTCCAAAGTTCGCCAAAAAAAGGGGAAACCAATATTAGCAAGAGTCTCCAAGGGAACAGAGAAGCCTGGCCAGTGGACCTGGTTTCCCCTTGAATCCAAAGCTACATAAGCATTGAATTTATTAAATACAAAAAAGTCTTTGCTATTATGTATACTAATTAAGTTTTTGAGTTGTGACTGGAGTTGAGAGTGGTCAGTCTCGCCACTTTCAACCCCAGTTAAAATTTAGAGTAACAAATTGGTGCCCCTAGGTGGGCACGAGTGTGAAACCAGTTTCAAAGCTTTAAGGGAACCGCAGAAAAGGGTTGCAACTTGTTTTGTGGGGTAGGATGCTCAAACCGAGTTAGGCTCAGGGCAACCTAGGGATTCTCCTTTGGATTAGTGAGCTCAATGGCAGACAGTGAGAAAAGAGCTGTCAGCATTAGAGAACTAGGTGATAGACAGAACCACTTCAAGTTTCTAGGATAAGGATATATTCTGTGGACCAGACACATTTGCGAAGTTGTATAACCATAGATCCTCTTGGGTAGTCTCCAGATGTAAACCCGGGCAGATAAAAAGGCAAAAGCAGAGAGGTGTCCTCCAGGGTGCGAGAGGCTGGCGTCTGGGCTTTAACTAAAGGGTTAGGGACAGACATTACACATAAATGGGTTTAAGTGATCAGAAACTGGTTTAAACCAGTACAGAACAGACATTAAGTGCACATAAACCAGTTTCAAAATGGTTGAAACTGGTTTGAGAAACTTGGTTGAGTTCAGTATCAGACTTAACTGATTTGGCTCAACCCGGTTTATCCAACATCTGTCCCAGACCCCTTCCTGGTTTAACTTAAAACCAGAGTCCCCCAGCATCCTGACACGTTCTCTGGGCTGGGCTCTCTGCTCCAGCCCAGTAGGGCTGGCCCTGCCCCTCTGCACCCCAGCAGGAGCAGGGACAGACAGGGCCTGGAATCTGGCCAGAGAGGAGTTTAATTCCCCTGTTCCTGTCTCACTGGCAGGGACCTGAGCCAGGGCTGCCGGGCACTCCCCACTTGCAGCTGCAGGCCACCATGGCTCCTGAGGCAGAAGGGGAAGAGAGGGGGCGTTATTCTCCCCTCTACCCTCACTGCTCCCAAGTTTACCTGGCCCAACCACTGCCACCACTCACTCCCTGCTTGGGACAAGCAGCGGAATAAGCCCCTAATGCTGGATGGTGGGGGAAATAACCCCACCACCACCACACGGGGTCCTGCCAACCAGCATCTGGCCATGCTCCCACCCAGCCACTCCAGTGGCAAGGGGGCAGGGCCCTTGATGGGGGCAGGAACCCCTGCCAGAGTTGGGCGATAGGAGCTGCTCTTCCCATCAAGGGCCCTGCGCCCTCGCCACAGCAGAGACTAGGCAAGGGAGCAGCCAGATGCTGCCAGATGCCGGCCAGCAGGGACAGGGGTTATTCCCCCTCCCTCTGGGACCTGACAGAGGGGGCTTATTCTGCCACTTGCCCCAAGAAGGGGGCGAGCAGTGATGGCAGCTGCAGTCACCCAGGGGTAGAAGGGAGAATAACCACCCCTCCCTACCCACTATGCCTCGGGGACCATGGTGGCCCGCTGCTGCTGCAGCAGTGAAAGGAGAGCACCCGGCAGACCTGGCTCAGGTCCCTGCCAGTGGGGCAGGGAGGGAGGAATTAAGCCCCTCTCTCTCTGCTAGGACTCCAAGATCCCTTTCCACTTCCGTGCCACCCAGCAGGTCATTTCCTAGGCTGTAGGTGTGCTGGGCATTTTTCCTCCCTAGGTGCAGCACTTTGCATTTCTCCTTGTTGAATTGCATTCTGTTGTTTTCTGGCCACTTGTCCAACCTGTCCAGGTCTGCTTGCAGCTGTTCCCTGCCCTCCGGCATGTCCACTTCTCCCCATAGCTTTGTGTCATCTGCAAACTTGGACAGAGTACATTTCACTCCCTCGTCCAAGTCGCTGATGAAGACATTAAAGAGTATCGGTCCAAGGACCGAGCCCTGTGGGACCCCACTGCCCACACCCTTCCAGGTCGAAGCCGACCCATCCACTACGACTCTCTGGGTGCGACCCTCCAGCCAATTCGCCACCCACCGGACTGTGTAGTTATCCAAGTCACAGCCTCTTAACTTGTTCACCAGTATGGGGTGGGATACCGTATCTAAGGCCTTCCTGAAGTCTTCCTGAGGGCGGTCAGTTCATCCTGAACTAGCCACCCTCCCCCCACCCCCAGCACAGCTTTCCTGCACATGAGGGCACGCCCTAGCACCCGCCCCGGGCTCCTGGCCTGAGCAACTGCAGGCATGTGCCAACATTTCTCAGTGCAGAGGGAATGTCCACGCTGTTACAAACTGGTTCAACTTAGGCAGGTTAGACTAACCAGCAAAGGTTGAATCAGTTCAGGCCCTGGGTTTTTGAAGGTCTGTCCCTAGCCAAGAAGTACAGCAAAAGGAGTAACAGAATGCAAAGGTAGAGGAGAAACTGTGGCAAGAAGTAGCCATCTCAAGGACAAATGAATGCATAAGGGACTCAGTAGAAATGACAAAGTTAGAAAAACAAGTGGAAACTTTATAAGAACAAAAGGAGGAAGCAGATAAAGAAACAGCATTGCAAGAACAGAAAGCACAGGATGCACAAGGTGCTTTGCAAGTAGTTTTGGAAGATTCCCAATTAACTGAGTCTGATCACAGTCAATGCCTCCAGAAGATGAGAGAAGCTAAGTTGGGGGTGTCATGGAGAATCACAAGTGATACCAGGAGAATTGGCAGCCCTGCCCAGGCATTGGCAGCTGCTGGCCCCAGCCCCGTGGTACGGGCAGGGACCTGCACGCAGCTCTCCCCTCCCCACCCCGCAAATGCAGACTTGCCTGCTTGTGCTGAACAGCTGCAGCAACAGCAGCAACAGCAGGGTGGGAAAGTGGCCCCTCCCCTTCAGCGCTGACCAGCAAGCACTTCCTGCAAGAGCCACGCAGAGCCCACTAGGCTGCCCTGCGACTCCCTCTGTGCTGCCCCTGCTGCCCTGCAGGGCAGCCTGGAGGTGGCAGTGACAGTGCAGGGCAGCCAGCGTGGGCTCCACACAGCTGCTGCACGAAGCACTGGGCAGCGTTGAGGGGGAGGGGCCATTTTCAGGGAGAAAAAAAAAGAAAGCCAGCACCCTGTAGAGCGGAGGTCTGGCACCAGCTAATCAGATATGAAAAGAAAGGAGAGATTGATGGCCTGCCTATTGTGGATTTACTTCTACAGTTAGTCCAGTATGAGGGAGGAGTAAAGCCAGAACTTGATGCTCTGCCTCCAGTGTTAGGGTGGCCCAGTACCTGATAGCCCCCTAATTATTGGAGGTTTGCCCTGAATTTGTCCCCTTCCCACTGTAACAGCAGGGAAAATAAAATGGGAGGTGGGGTGTCAGGTACCCTTTTGCTCTATGCTTCGCACCCAACTTTTTCCCCTGGCAACCCCTTCCTCCTCTCATCAGAATCTGCCCTCCCCGAGCACATGGAAGTGAGAAAAATTCCAAAACAAGAACTTTAAAATTAAACATGGCTGTAGCAAATTGCATATATAGTACTCATGCACTTAGTTTATTCAGAGTTTTTTGTGTTTTTTTTTTTAAAACTGCTGCAAGTTTTAGCACAGTCACTCCAAAAACATACTTTGAGCAGCACTTTGGAACCTACTTATATAGAGTACAAGCTATGCAAGATGTTAGTCTAAAGCCAAAGACTCATAATTTACCACATTGTTTATTGGGCCGGGCCCCAGAGTCAGCAAAGTTTCAAGCCATGGTGACCCCACAATTCAGTACTGCCTAGTACAGGGGTGGGCAATTATTTCAGCTGGAGGGCCTCTTAATGACTTTTGGGGAACTGTCAAGAGCCATAGCCATCTCTCTCTCTCTCTCCTCTTTTCATAGATTTCATAGACATTAGGGCTGGAAGGGACCTCGGAAGATCATCGAGTCCAGCTCCCTGCCCAAAGGGCAGGAAGTCGATCCCAGCAAGATAAGCATCCAGTTTCATCTTGAAGGTGTTCAATGAAGGCGCTTGAACCACCTCCGGTGGCAGGCTGTTCCAGACCTTGGGGGCTCGGACAGTAAAGAAGTTCTTCCTTATGTCCAGCCTGAAACGATCTTGAAGTAGTTTGTGACCATTTGACCTCGTCATCCCTTGGGGCGCTCTGGTGAACAAACGTTCCCCCAGATGCTGGTGGTCACCCCTGATAAACTTGTAGGTGGCCATCAGATCACCCCTGAGCCTGCGCTTTTCCAGGCTAAAGAGCCCCAGGGCTCTCAGCCTGTCATCGTAGGGTCTGCTTCCCTGACCTCTGATCATGCGTGTGGCTCTTCTCTGGACTCTCTCAAGCTTCTCCACATCCTTTTTGAATTGTGGAGCCCAAAACTGGATGCAGTACTCCAGCTGCAGTCTCACTAAGGCCGAGTACAAGGGGAGAATGACGTCCCGGGATTTGCTTGAGAAGCATCTATGAAATGTTTGTGCACTCCCTGCTCCTCCATTGCAGAAATCTATTTTAATCCGTTTTTAAAAACACACTTATTCTCTAAAGCAATTGGCTCCAAAATGTGGTACCTCTACTTTTGCTATTTACACACTCTCCTTTTTCATCCCTAAAGCTATTTCTTTCGGATTTGGGGGTTCCCAGTTCCTGTCATCTTGCTTTAGTTCAATCTATTCTAGATGGAGCTTTACCTGACGATTGCCTAAAAACGAGGCGCTGAACGCCGCTGCTTAGCGGCGTTCCTGTCAGAGAGTGCATTTTGCACGGGTTCTGTGATTTGGATTGACATACCACTTGTTTCTGTATAAATATGAACTCGCCATTTTCTCAACCTCCTGAAACCCTCAATATTTTGGATCTTGGAAATGGCCCGTCTCCTTATATGGTACTGGAGCAGCCGCTAAAGTTAGAGAGAGAGTTTTGCTAAAAGCTCTTTCCATTCTGGTGTTAGAAAGGAAAAAGGAGAATTGGCAATTGGGAAATTCAAGTGCAACTGCTTTCTCCGCTTGGTTCAGTAGAGGCAGAGTTGCTTGCTGGCATTCAGAACTCACTCTCTATTCTCCAAATAGTTTTGAAAAATAACAGGGTTCAGAAGGATGCCAAGGTGGGCTAAGTGGAGAAACGTGAATGTAGTGGGTAGGGTGCGTGAGAAAGTCTGTTACTAGAAATGGATTTACCCTGATCTTGCAAGCTGCTCTGCAAGGGGGGATTCCTGCCCTGCAGGAAATCAATGGGGTCTGTGGGATGGAAGGGACAACCCAGCTTTTGGCATATTTTCCATACTCTATGGACCCCTGGATTTGCAGTTTAGTACATCTACACAAACAGCCATCTATCTTATTCTCATCCTTCTAGAACCACATGAAGGCTGTCACTCCAGCTCATATGTTATTCAGAGTTAATTCAGTGTCTGCAATTTTAGTCACTATATATGGATAACTATAGGAAGCTGAGTGGGGCTCACTCCGCTACATACTGTACAAATGTTGTCAGACACAGTCTATTATGTCCAAGTATTGTGTCCACATTTTGCAATAGTTTTAAAAAAAGCAGGCAGTAGTTTCCTATTCTTTTGGGCTCACAGCATGTTGTCTGCTGCAAATCTCTATTCACGTTCTTACAGGATAACACAGTGGTGTCACATTCATCATTAAATGAATTAACCGTTAACCCTATATTTACACTCCTGCTATAAACAGAAGCTTATCCCTTGAGGAGCAACCACTCTTCTTGAACTCCCCTGTCCCCGTGGTCATGGTCCCTTAGGGCCTCACTGACAAGCCTCCTGAGCTTGTCAAAGTCGGCTTTCCTGAAGTCAAGGACTTCCGCGTCGCTGACTGACTTCCCAGCTTTTTGGCGGATGGTGAAGGTGATCAGCTCGTGGTCATTGTCACCCAGCTTCCCATCAATCACTAGGTCGCCGACTAGGTCATTCCCAGTAGCCAGCACCAGGTCGAGCAGCGCTTTGCCTCTCGTTGGCCCATAGACTTCTTGAGTCAGGTAGAGGTCATCCACGTACGAGAGGAAGCTTTGCGACTGCTCAGATTTTGCTGAGCAATCCTCCCCCGAGATGTCCAGGGAACTGAAGTCACCCATGATAACCATGGTCCTGGAGCATGCAGCCTCAGCCAGTTCCCAAGTGAACTCCTGGTCAAGCTCTTGTAGTAGACTCCCACCGTTGTGCTCCCTCTTGCAGGGACATGTAGCTTTCCTTAACATAGAGAGCTACCCCCCCGCCCCTTTTCTCTACACGATCCCTCCTGTACAGGGTACAGCCATCTATACCCGTGGTCCAGTCATGGGTGGAGTCCCACCAGGTCCCCATTATCCCTATGACATCATAATTATTTGCATTGAGCAGGAGGATGAGTTCCTCCTGCTTATTCCCCAAGCTCCTGGCATTTGTGTACAGGCAAGCAAGTGCCCCCTGGGGGGCTCCTTCCTTGCTCACAGATTTTGCCAGGGCTGGGGCAGGGTGGGCTCCCTTAAGTGCCTTGACCTGCTGGCTTTTCTTTGGGTCTCTCCCTCTCCTTCCCTTCACCTCCTTGTAGAGATGTTGCCACCTGCTTGATGCAGGAGCAGCTCCTGCCTGGGTCCAGAGAAAAGATAGAAAGGTCCACAGCTGACACCACCAGCAGGTTGCTGATCAGGGCTCTAGGCAGAAGCTTCCACTGCGGCAGGAGGGCAGTGGGTCAGCTGTGGACGTCGTGGGCAGGTTCTGCATCGGGGCTCCTAAACCTGCCTGTTGCGCCAGAAGCCCCACCCAGGTCCACAGCCGATACCTGATGCTGCTGAGCGGAAGTAGTCCTGCCTGCCCAGCACCAAGCAGCAGCTGGAACTGCAAGGTACCCGCAGGCCAGATCCAATGAGTTAGCAGCCATCCACCCATGGGATAGATCAAATCTGTTGACAGGCCAGATCTGACCAGCAGGCCGTATTTTGTCCATCACTGGTTTAGCATGCGTTTAACTCCAGACAGCCTCCACAAAGGATCCATGTTTTAATTAGCCCCCACTCATACCTGGAACTGGGTGTTCTAGTCACAAATCCTGGGATGTTCCAAAAATTTCTATGCAAATGAAGCACAGGGCAAACTGGTCTGGCTTTTTCTTGTGGAGGGCAAGGCCACATTAATCATTCGTGCCAGACAGAGATATTCTGGGTGAACCGTACGCAATATTGTGGTTCACCATGACTTGAAAAACAGCTGGCAGTAAGGGGTACTACCATAGGTACCTACCGGCGAGAGTTTTTTTTGCAGCCCATTCATGGGGCACAGGGCTGATTTCACGGGCATTTCCAAGAGGCCCTGCACCTCAGCACCGATTGGCAGAGAGGCTAGGGGCGGGGGGCGCGGAAATGAGGAAGCTGCCACCATCTTGACTGCTGAATGCTTGTTGATGTGGCCCTACCCCTTGGAAATGATTGGTAGAGAGGTCCTGGCAGGGGAGGAAGGACTAGGGGGCGGCTGCCATCCTGACTGCTGCTTGCCTATCATGCCGCCCTGCCTCTCGATGCTGACTGACAGAAGTGTCCCGGTGGTGGGAAGAGGGGGTAGCCTCCATTTTGTCTGCTGCCCTTTCATGCCACCCACCACCCAGCACCTTCTACTCCTGGCAGCAAGGACCAGCATTTTATTTTTTGTTGTTGATTTTGCAGATTTCAGAGTTTCCATGAAATCTACTAAACTGTGAATTAAGTAGGTCCCTATATATTAACCTATTTTTGAGGTAGGCATGTTTGCCCAATGTGGGCCATGTGTTTTACAGTCATGCCTAGGGTTGGCTGCATTTAATCAACTTCATAGTTGGTTTCCATTGCTGAGCACATGTTGCTTTTGGCAGCAATTTAATGAGAGACAATCTATTTAGTGAAATTTCCTTGTATGCGGTTATAAGAGGAGGGGCTTCCCCCCATACCAATTGGGGCAGAACTCATCTTGTATTCAAGCAAACATATTACTTCGAGAACCAGAAAAATAGGAAGATGAACAGTAATAGTTACAGTCAGATACGCATTACAATAGCACCTGTATTTCCCACCGCACTGGATCGAATTCAAACATTTCAGCAGAAAAGACTGGATATGATTACCCAGGAGGTCCTTATCAGTCTTCTGTTCTTATTATGGAACCACTTGTATTGCTAAAACATAAGTAGTACCATTGCTTTGGCACCTGCAATTTCATATTTGTGTCATACCAGAAATAAATCTCGTGTTCTCATTTTATTTACCTCTTCTCTCAGTTTTCTGATCAGTTCTGTATCATTGTGGTGAGTTTTAATAACTTCAGCTTTACCACTTGCAACAAGGGAAGCACTTTCAATAAGATCAGGTCTTAGGGTTCCCTGAGCAAGAAAGACCTCTTCAGGTTTCAGATTCATTTCTCCGATTACTTCATTGGCAATCTACAACATGGATAGAAAAAATAACATTTTGCATTAGCCCGGGCATGACCATAAAAACACCTACAATACACGTTACCTCCCCAAATAATGTTTTTGAGAAGGCAACATGAAGAAGAAACAATTTTTCCAGCATTATGGCTGCATACTACGGGGACAGATCCTAAATATTCGGCTCACTTAACCTCCCTTTCCTGATTAAGCAGAAGCTGAAACCCTAGTTGCAGCTGAAGACTGATCTCCATGGGTGAATCATTTTGAAAAGAGCTAAAAAACAGCCGTGAGGGGTGGAGTGAGGCTGGGGCAGGCACTGCCCACCCAGGGTGGAGCACGGGAGGGAGCTGCAGGCAGCTTGTCCAGGGTATGGAATGGGAAAGAGGTTGGCAGCTCCCACTGCTGCATGTGTCCCAGGGGAGGCATATGCCCCCAGGATTTGTGCATGGGGCAAGGATGGGCTGTCCACTGCAGGTTTGGGGCCAAGGGCTATGCCAGCCTCTTCCCGGCAAGGGCCAGGGCTGTGTTTGGGTCAGGTGGGGTAAGGTGGGCAGTGGTGGCAGTGCTGAGCGGGGTGGGGGGGGGGACGGACAGACAATAGCTGCCCCAAAATATGCTGTGCCCCCCCCCGCGAGAACAGCCCCAGCCCTGAAAACACAGCCCACCCTTGCCCTGTGCACAGATCCGGAGTGGGGGGGGGTACGTACATGCCTCCCCCAGCGGTTTGCACAGCAGCAGAAGTCAATCCCCACTTCCCTGGATGAGCCACCTGCAGCTCCGTCCTGTACCCTGCTCCACCTATGCAGCCCCTGCTCCAGCTCCACTCCCTCCCAAAAAAGCTGATTGCTAATAATGTAAATTTTCCTTTTATCGTTTCCGATACGATATGGTCCGATGTATTGGTGCACCTCTACCGATTTGGGGGGAAAATGTGCACGTGTCATGCAAGTTAATGTAGTACCTACAAAACCACCAAACTGCAGCCCCCTTTCCATCACCTCAACAGGATTGTTCATGCTGAACACTTAAGCTTAAAAAAGTAAAAATGCAGCCTTGCTTTTGTCTGTCAGGGTTTGAGCAAAGCTTAAAAGAAGAATCTGTTCACTCAGCAGACAAGTGGCACAGGGTCAGTCTGTGGACCGAACCCAGCATATGCATCACTTAGCCTGCAGGGGTGCTCACAGCTCAGAGAGCCACTGCAAATCAATGCTTCAGCTACACATGCTACCACCAAATTTTTGGATCTGTGGGCCAGATGTGGCCTGCAGGCTGGACCTTGGTCACCTGTTTAAGCCAAATCAGGCCTATAATTACTGAAGCTCAGCCACTGCTCATAGTGGAACAGCTACAAACTTCAGTAATACAAGGCATTCTAGCAGGCTGTATTAGAGCAGTGGTTCCCAAACTGTGGGTTGTGACCCCAAATGGAGTCACATCAGAAGATGGGGTCATAAACAGGGTAATGCTGAGCAAAAGTTTGGGAAGCACTGTATTAGGGGATGGATTTTAGAGCAAAGCCTAAATTGTAACTTTACTACTTCCAAGATATCTACACTGCAACAATGTATATGACATGACCACCAATGTCAGTGAGTGTACAGTGCCTCAAACTGACAATTTTCCTAAAAAGAGGGCATTTCAAACAATGGGAAGTAGAATAAAAAGAAAAATATTCAAAAGCTTGAGGGATAAGCTAAAATAATTCTAAGAAAACCTATTACCTTCACAAAGGTGTCACCAATAATTTTTCTTTTTTCCTCAGGACTTGTTGTCATATTTAAAGTCTTACTAATTCTTTTTCGTGGAGTTCGGTCTTCATCAGAGATTGGCAGAGTTGTTGTACCATTGTAGAATGAATGAGCTGCATTTACCACTGCAAAGAAAGAGAAAAATATGTTGAGAGATTTTCGAACGGGATTGGGAAAATACATTTCAAGCTAGTGCTTTTTATCTACTTATGTTTTAATCTATTCTGTTGTACAACTGCATATTGTTGAAGAACTTTCACCCTATTATCAAGCCTAATATTTTCCAGAGATTAAATTTCCTTCCTTCATTTATATACATACGTTTTGAAGTCCTACTTTTACCCAATTCCTTTTCATTAGTCCGAATTAAATAATCTTCTTTATGTTTCTAGCACACTATATTTCTTGAGAAATTTTCTAAATTAGCTAGTTTCAATGTCAATACTGAGATCATCTAAGGAACTTGTAATGACAGTCCCTATCACTGAGTCTAGGTGTGATGCCTGTACAATTTCCATAAATGGCCTCCGTCATCTGTGGAATTTAGCCCCTCTGAGAATCTGTCAGAGCACAGGTTTGGCTCGCAGAGCATGGCACAAATCACATTTCTGGATGAAACATTCAGCTCATATGTCCATATTGCACACATACTTAAACTATACAGCTTTAGGTTTTTGTTTGATATGCTGAAAAGGTGCAAAGGCAGATCTTTGCATAGCTTGATTTTGGCTGTTTAATTGAATGCGACTGAACACACTGTTTCCAGAGCCTTAACAAATGAAGCATAAGAAGTCATTAGACACAGCAGTACTCGTTAGCAGATTATAAATAAGCAGAAGTTACTTGTGAATTACATGATTTATGTGAACCGTAGGAAATACAATTATACTGGTTAACTACTGTACCATTTGTTGTTTCCAGACGCCTTAAACCTCAGAGATAAACAAGCCAAGACCTTACTGGCCAAGGAAAAACAGCTAAACTACACAACTGATAAGCGGTTAGAGAATGGAGCTGCACAGGATGACTTGGATAGGAATGATCCATCCCAAAATTCGCCTTAGCACACCCCCATGCACAGCTGAGCCTGCAAAGGTGCACTGTTACCAGCAGGGGCAGGCAGCAACAGTGACCCTGGGAGGGGTGGATGAAACATTCAGCTCATATGTCCATATGTTGCATAAAAATCACCAGTGGGTGCACGTGCACCTCAGAGCAGATGGCAGGGGAGAGCCTGAAGGAAGCGCAACCCTGCCCCCCTCCCCTGCCATCCACTCTGAGGTGCGTGTGCACCTGCTGGCAATATGGAGCTGATGCTGGGGCTCCAGAGCAAGGGTAGTGCCAGCCTATTCCTGGTAGGCGGGCTGGGCCAGGCCTGGAGGCTCCACCCCTCCCAGTGTCACTGCTGCTGCCCACCCCACTCCCGCCTGCTCCAAGCCTGCCGTGGCAATATAGAGCCCGGCAGAGCTGTTTGCAGCCTCCCAGCTACAGCCAGCCCACGCTCTGGGTAGCTGCTGCCAACAATGGAGCCTGACTCCCAGCAGGGCTTACAGCCTCCCAGCTGCCTGCTGGGAGCAGCCCAGGCTCCTTGGCTGGCAGCAGCTACCCAGCCTGGGCTGGCAGTGGCATTCAGAGTAAAATGGCCTCACATGCCATACTCTGGCACGTGTGCCAGGAGTTGCTGATCCCTGCTATAAAACAAAACAAAAAAAATTAAAATAAATCTGTTACTAGAACTTAAAAGAAAGGAGACTGAGTCCTAACAATTAAGACATAGCTAGAGAACCAAGAACCCAACATTCTTTCTAAAAAGAAAATTCGGTTCAGATGAACAGTTACAAATCTACAGCTGGAATAAAAAGTGATGGTTGAGACAGATATCAGCTGTTACAGGCTTTCAGTAGCTGCATTCCCATTTCCATCACTGGTGAAGTGAAATGTTTTAATCTCTCGGATCAAAAACATTCTTCATTCATGCACTTAGAGCACCAATATGAGAATCAATATCTGGTTAAATTTAGCTTTTAAACTGCATGGGACCCAGAAGGTGTCTTCCTGTATGTGTTCAAGGCTTAATAGTACAGTTCTATACTATTAGTAGTCTTCAAAGCTGTTAATTTTGGATTGATGTTAGAAAGAGTAGTGCTTCTCAACCTTTTGACTCCATGCACCCCTCAGAAAAATAATATAGCATTTCTCTGTTGCAAAGAACTCGGAAAGACCACAACAGGTCAGAATATATTTAACACTGTGGATTCCTATTTGAAATCTCAGGGCTTATCTTGTGAATCACGTTTTCAAACCCAACAGTGCTAACATTGTATGGATAACACGTAACACCCCTAAAAGGGTCTCAGGGCACCCCAGCATGCCACAGCATCCTAGCTGTGAAACATTGAGACAAATCAGATATTAGGAAGAACTGTCTTATTTTAAGGGTAGTCAAACACTAAGTGGTTTATTCCCGAGACTGGGGAAGCTGACACTGGCAGTTCTGAAGTGTAGATCTGTGGTGGTTTACAGAAGGAATATTTAGAGTACAGAGTTGGAATAGATCATTTCCTGAAGCCTCGTCCAGACCTTTTTCTCTATGAATGATAATTAAACTTGAGAACTTTTGTATAGGTCAACATCAACCAATAAAATTAAGTAATGCAGCCATAGTAGCGTTCATGACAATGAAGATGTCGCCTTTGTGACACCATAAAAATGTTTATGGTGGAGCAAAGTGAAAGCAAACAAACATCTGTGACCTTTGCTGTTGCAACAAAAGGTAGTATTAAATTTGTGCCACTATTTTGAGGCAGATATCTGTCTGTTTTCAGGTGACAGAGTGAGGGAGGCCTGGAGCCACCCATGCTCTTTAGCCACCCTGGGAGTGCCTGCCCCCATTTGTAGAGGTACACCCCAAGCGCTGTCACACAGGATTAGGCCCCTGCTACTCCTGGGAGCAATGAAGCAGATCAGTCATGCTGGGACATGTCTTGGCACAGCTGATGTACTTTCACTTGGCGATTTCTGTTCATAGTCTGTAATTTGAGGTGTTCGGAAAGCATCATGCAGATTTTTTTTTCATTGTTTTACTGATATAGCATGTGCAGTCTCATTGAAATGCCAATGCTTTGCTGTAGTGATTTGTGTCACTTGCCTGTATGGATTACGGTATACTGTCTGTATATGTCTTTATGATTTTTGACATGGTTTATTCAAAGGAACCGAGGCCTAAATCCTTAAAAGTAAAAGGAAATAGGCAAAACTGCTAAGTACCTTTTGCCCTTTTGTTGTTAGGGCAGGAACAGCCACTCCCAAACACAAGCAGAAGAGGCTGTTGTTGGGATGGACACCCAACGTATTGTCTGCCTAGGGGTGTGTGGCCGGGAGGGGGGCAGGGAAGGGAAGGAGGGGCTGGCTTGGAGGTATTTAGGAGCTCCCTCCAAGATGGTACCAGTCTTTGGATTATCCCAAGCTTTTGGAGAGTCCATGGCCCTAGTGGTCAGGGCTAGTAAAAATCAGCAGAAAGATTAAATCTCAGAAAATACTGGCAGGACTTTCCTGTGTAATAAATCCTTATGTTGTTTTATATCCTTACGATTGCCTGTGGTAAAACAGGGATCTCAGGACAAGTGATATTCCAAGCTAGTCTGTTTCATGGAAAGGGGGACCTAAGAATTCCCTCACAACCTAAGGGGACACTACCCGGAGTTGGCAAAGATTTCCTTACAGTAGTCGTGGGGTACAGCGTACAGGCAGTGGAGCCAAGGTTTGTGGGGATTAAAGGGTTGTCCCAGGGCAAAACTTGGTTTGCTCTCAGAGACAAGCAAAAGAAGAGTGGGGAGAAACTTGTATCTCCAGGTTCCCCCACAGCCACATTTGTGACAACATCTTTATTTTTACTATTTTCAGTGATAGGAAACGAACAAAAAGCAGTACCTTTGACTTGAATTCCAAGTTTTTTAAGGGCCTCCTCCACAGACTGACTCTCTCTCTTGCGCATAAATCCATTATCTATATGTACAGCTATAACTTGATCTTGGTTTAAAGCCCGATTCAGAAGAGCAGTACATACTGTTGAGTCCACACCACCACTGAGTAAAACCTAAATTAGGAAAAAAGAGAAAAAAATCTCCAAATTTTCCAGACATAGCAGGAGAGTAAAAATTAGCTAAAAGCACAGAGGGAATATAGAATTACCAAGCCAGCCCCACTGATTTTGAGGAAAATGAGAACTCAAACAATGTACCACGCCAACTATATGAAGGCAATAGGTTTTTCTAAAAACAGCTAGCCATTTTATAAATGGAAGCATGACAAACCTGATAGCTCTTAAACAAAATAAAGTAAAACAAAACTAAACTAAATAGCATAACTGCAAGGAACAGTCTGCAAAAATACGTTGCTCCTTGGTTAGAAGTTTTCAGATGTTGCCACAGTACTTACCAGGACTTTTGATGCACCCACTTTCTCTTTAATCTCTTGAATGCACTGAACTTCTCTATTTTCTACTGTGAAAGTGCCACTGCATCCAGCAATGTCATAGAGGAAATTCTTCAATATCACTTTTCCATTCACTGTAAGGCTGACTTCAGGGTGGAACTGTGCTCCATACAGTTTTTTTGATTCATTTGCTATAGCTTTATAAGTATAAGAGATAAAGTATTACAAATTACAAATGTAGTAAGTACGAAAAGGCCCTGCAAGTTTTACAGAGTATACTGCATCTTGCTTTGTACTAAAGTTTCTACTGGCAAATTAAATCTTTGAAAAATAATCACTTGAATTTAATTTGTCCTGTAACTTCCCAACCATGCTTTGTGCCACAGAGGTATGATGCAGTCCCTTCATTTGACAAAGATATTTTAAGTAGAAATAGTAATTTTTCAGTCATTACTGAACTAAAAAAAAAAAACTCTTCATTCTCCACGTTTGGGAAAGGTCACTTTGGGAGGAGGTAAAAATCCAGAAGTTTTTTGGATTTCTTAACTTTCCATAAAAATCTAATGTGCATTTCTGTGCATTGAAGGAAGTTACATTATCCCTAAAAAGCATAAGGACCAAAAAGAAAAAGCTGTAAGAAATCCGAGAGCCTGACTACACTATACACTAAAGGTATAGTGTGCAATGTTAAGAATATGTGTACTTTATTTCTGATATCCATTATTGCTTTTGAAGGGACCTATACCTTAGGGAACAAAGTCCTAAGCAAACCAGAAAAGGTCTTTTCATATTTTTATGAAAAGCTGTTCTAGCAGCTAATCAAGGCACTACAGTCTAAATTTGATCCATCGAAGAAAAAGAATTATACCTGGAACCAAGAAAAAAGTGTGGAAAATGGATAAAATAAAGCATAAATGTCTATTGAAAGACAAGTGTTTTGAGGGAAAAAAAAAAACCCAAAACCCCTTCTTGCTTGTAGAACTCCCTTACCAAATCTGACCCAGTCTATGCTTTAAAGATGTTCTGCACATTTATCATATCTCTTCCTATTTAAATCATCACCATGTTCATTGGTGTTATGGAAAAGGTCAGACTGAAGTTAACAATCCCTTCTAAGTCTTAAAAAAAAAAAAAAGAATCCATTTCACTTAAAACTTTCTAGGCTTTGTTCTTGCAAACACTTACACAAGAGTGTAACTTTACCCATTTAGTCACTAGAATTTTGCACTTGGCAAGTTCTATATAGGGTGAAGAGTTTGCTGGTAAAGGGCCATACTGGTAAAATTATGGTTCCGGGAATATAGATTGACTGCTATATGAAAAATGATGGTTACCACACAATTTATAAATTAAAGTCGTTTGACATTCCCAAAACTACTCACAACCCAAAATAAATGTACAATAAAGAAGTTATCTTTGAATTATGTTTTATTGCATGACTATGCATGCGAGACACAGCAGTAAAGTGATCCTTGTGTTTCAGTCCACTGTATTAGGCATAGACACTAAAAACCTTCATTAAAAATAAATCATCATTTGTTCCCTTGGAAATTAACAGCTAAAAACTAGATGCTTCTGGGAAACATTTCTCAACCACCCAGTGCAAACACAACGAAGCCAGGAAATACAGAGTTTAGATTTGGGGCACCAAACTCATTCTGCCCCATGGGCCAGTCTGCAGACTGGATAGGGACCACAGATCTCTTCCCCCTCCCTCAGCCTGCCTGATCCAGTGGCTGCTCCAGCTGGTCTGGGACCAGCACTATGCAGGCACCACAGCCCAGAGTGGCTGTCTCATTTCATGCAGCACATGCACTGGCGTTCCAGGACAGTACCTCATAATGCTTCCTCCAGCCAGCCCAGAAGCTGAGCTGCATTTGGTGCAAGCACTGCAGGCAGCACAGATCCCAAGCCAGATGGAGCAGGCACTATATGCAGCACACGTCCCATACCAAATGTGGCAGTCTGGCCACTCCAGTATCCACACTGCGCAGGTCCCAGGCCAGCTGGAGCAGGTGCCAAATCAGGTACACCAGGGAAAAGGGGAGGAGAGGTACGAGGGGATCCTTGGGTAGGATCCAACCCTACGCCATGCTCTTGGTGGGTCTCAATGGCAGGGCTCCATGGGCTGGTTTAGATCATACTTTCCCCATCATACCATACAACCATAAAAGATCTGGTCTACACTTAAAACCACACCAGTATTACCATTTTGGTAAAATACCCCAACAGAGACAGTTACCTGGGTAAAAGCCCCAGCTTGCGTAGAATTATTTTTATACAAAAGTAACTTCCATTAGCGTAAATTATTTTCCTTACCACACTTAAATTAGCACGAATGGCACTGCACTGCTTTGAACTTTATATATTTAAAAGCACTAGACTTTTGTTGCACCTTAACTCTCTTAGGAGTCCTTTGGAAAGTGCTGAAACCTTTTTCTTTAGGTATCTGAAGGTCAGCGGGATGAGTAAAAAGCATTTGTGTTGGGAAAAAGAAAAGTGTTTAAAGAGCTCCGACTCCTGGTTTAGGTAGATCCTTGAAAATGACAAAAATTTAGCCCCCTCACTTAGTCTCACCATCCAGGTTGAGCACCTACCAACCTCCTCCCATCCTTTCCAAGACAGTGATGCAACCTGGAGCACAAGGTCCGGAAGAGGAGGAGTGCAGTTTTGCAAGAGTGTGGGAGCCCAGAGAATATGGCAAGTTTTAGAAATTGACACGGTTCTTATAGTTTCTGTGGCTTCTACTACAGCATAACTTAGTTAGGTTGGAGGGGGAACATGATGGAGAATGTGTTACTTACAACTTGAAGGCCACCAAATAATATAGCTGTCAGTTAGACTGAACATATGGATTTTAGAGTATTTGAAAATGGGGCCTAAACAGAATTCTCAGCTTAATGCTAATTATAGCTTGGAAAGTGATACCTCATAATAATGCAAGCAGCTTTAAAAATTTAGAAGCAAGATCCAAGTTTATCATGCGCCTAACTTGCGATTTATAGAGTCTAATCTACAGAACGTTTCTCTGTCAAAAATCCTACAACATCTATCCGGATTTTTGCTCAAAGGTTTAAATAAGAGCAATGTGAATAGTTTAAGATCACATTATGTAGCTCAGTAATCAAGACACTGGAATGTCTTTTAGCTGCACAAAACACCAGCTGAATTGATGAACTGCAAGATGGGTCAACAAATTAGGTACATGTTTTTTTAAAATCACATATCAGGGGAAGTCTACACACTTTTGCTGGGACCACTCAAGGTACATAAAAGATGTCTTCAGACAGTGATAAATGCTAGAATAAATTAATATGCATTGCCTTTCCAGCAGAATTAAGTGATATTTGAACATTAATGTTAAGCCCGAATCCAAATATACTGCATTCTAACAGCAAATTTATAATTTTTCCACGTTGCGACATGCAACGCAAATGGGATCCTTTACAAAAGGGGTGGGAGGGGAGAAAAATCAAACTGTAAACTGAAGAATTTGAAACAACAAGATATGCTTGTCTTTAAGCTGTCCACTTTCAGTCTTATTACAACATTCAGGATAAGAGATGCAACTCACTTCACAGAAATTTATTTTTTCCCTGCATTAGCATGATGGTAATATTTGGATTAGAAAGTTGTGAAGAAATTCTCTTCGTATTAAAGAAATCGCACTTCCATTAGAATTGAACATAAATTTAAGAGACACATTCTCACTGTTCTTAAGTTTCACAGAAGCCAGAAGTTTTCAAACTTTCTCAAGGTCACAAAACATTTTTATATCACTTCTGCCACAGAACTGCTACCCCTGGCTCCAGGTCACCCGAGCTGATGTGGAGCCAGGCAACCCAGTCTAGCAATGGCAGCACACCACCTGCCATCCCATGCTGCTGTTACCCACAATCTCTCTGTTGAACCCCGGATGGCCTATTATGGAACTCCAGGGTTCTGTGTAACAGTCTGAAAACCACTGGTAAGAGCTAATTCTTACAAAACAAGTCTGTACCTCAGTTCTCCTGATAAGTTACCTTTAGAAGTGCTCTCAAAAGGAAAGGGATAAATGTGTAAAATACATACCTGCTATAATGTTCCCAGACTGTGCGACAACTTTGAACCCATCGGCTACTTTATCTACACTATCTCCATGTGTTAAGAGCACAATTTCCTCCTTCTGAAGTCCCCTAAAAATAAGGGTAAAATCAGAACCAGGTTAAAACATAGATAAGTATTTGTATAATCCACACAGACTAGTGTGAAGAATATAAATCAGAATTGAAGAATGGGTAGTTCCTAAAATCAGTATGAGAAAAATCAATATTTAGCTACCCATAGTTAGGGCCTGGTTTAAATTGTGGGCCCAGCTCTTGGCTCAATGGCTCCTTCAATCTTCAAGTCCTGTCCCGGTCTTCCCCCTCCCCACTGATGGGTGGAGAGGCCCCATCAGCCCTACCGCTTGCTCCTGATGGGCAGGAGGCAAAAACTGCAGTTTTAAATATGCCACAGTTTTTGCCTCCCACTGCTTGCTGCTGACCAGACAGGGGGCAAAAACCACAGCATATTTAAAACTACGTTTTTTTTACCTCCCAGCCACCAGGAATAAGCGGTGGGGCCAGGGCCAACAGGACCCCTCTGCCAATCATCAGCGTGAGGAATGCCAAGATTAAAAGGAGCTGCTGCACTGCAAGCTGGGCCTGCAATTTAAACCAAGCCCTACCTATAGTACTGCTCTACCAAAATGTATACCCAATAATACAAATAATTGATTTTATTCTTCAGAAAGGTGAGCACAAATACTCTGACAGCTGCTCTATAAGTCTCAAAGATCTCTTCCCACTGAAACACTGAAGCACATGCTTCCTTCCCAGCACTAGTCACCTGCTTTCTGGAGTCAGCCTGAACACTCCTTCACCAGGTCTCTTACGCAAAATGAACAAGCTCTCCAGAGTTCTTAAGTCAGCTGCTGGTTAAGAAAAATGCAAATGGTTCCTCTGATCTTAGTACAGCAAAGCCCAGCTTGCTGAAGTTTATTAAGCTAGGAGAAATAAAAAGAACCATGCTTCCTACTTAAAATGACAGAGCTTCGTTAGGCACAAATATAAGAAAGTTTGTAAGGACGACCTCATCCTAATGGTCTTTAAACCTTTGAGGATAGAGTGCAAAGTTCTAACATGCATCTGGAAAATAAAAACTAAATCAGAAGAACTGGGACCTTGTGGTATAGTAAGCTGACCGTACTATAGCAAGGCACTCAAATCGAGTTATTGTGACAACAAACAGAACAAAAACATTGGTCTTACAGGCTATTCAAAAGCATGCGTAAAGGAAAGGAGAGAAGGCTTCATTAATGTTTTCAGTTTTTCCCTAGTTTCCAGGAGCTTGGACACCAGTGGGTGCTAGGCAACACAAAAGCAACCCATTGCACAACAGAATGATGAAACAACTATAGACCTTTTTAATGCAAAGATCCCCAGACTGGTTTTTAAATTAAAGATGAAAAAAGAAATAGTTTAGTCTACAAGTACAAAGCTCTCCCAAATTACATACATGGAGGTGAAAAGCTAAAAATTTTGGCTGTATTCTTTACAGGAAATGTGAGCAAAAGGTTATTTTTAAAAAAGAAAATATAGGAGTCTATTTAAAAGAAAGGTCAGAGTTCTGTAGACCTGCTCATATGTACAACTCTAAAGTTGGGCACTTGCAGGTTTAAATATGCAGTTGCCCAATTTATGTGTATAACTGCAATATCTGTATGAAGAGTAGTGATCATTCATGAATGTAGGAGGAATTAGTTTCTTCTCTTAAAAATTTAACTTCTGTCTACAAGTGGCACTAACATCAGCTTTCGCTTTTTCAAATAGTATTTAAATGCATGCATACCTGAACAGTGAGCATGTGTTATCAAGAGTAATGCTGAAAACTCCATCTTCTCGAACATTTTTTTTATGCACTGTACCTCCAAATACTTTATTCATCATCTGTCAAAACAGAAACACTGTTACATCAAATAAGTTCCTCACATGTAAGATTATTTTCATGCTGTATTTGTCTCATTGTCCCTAAATTATAACTCTACATTCTAACTTAAATCTATTGGCGATGACAACTAACTTCTGGCCGCTGAAATCCCCTCAAGACCAGGCTAATGTTCATCATTGTTATTTTAATAATGCAATGCTTCCACCAGGTCAGTTATCTCATCATTCTTATCATAAAGATAATTTATTTTCTATCGGCCTCCTCTCGGCATAGCTGGGAACAATTCCTATCCTTACCATATTTTACAACAGAAGATTCTCTCCCTGCCCAAAAAGAGTATAAAATTGTGAAATACATTTTTAACAATGTATTTACAATACAGATTTTCATTACAAATTATTTCATTTGTTTATTGTGTAGTGTCTACGTATAAGACAAACCTTAAGCTCCCTTCTTCAGGAAAAAGTATGCTTTAAGCACCAAAAAACAGAGTAACTGTTAAATAAATCAGAGAAACTGGTTAATAAATCATGGCTTTGACAGGAAACATTAGGGTATATATTAACAAAATTAGACATATTCAATTAGTATGAAAATCAGATAACCAAGTAGGTAGTCATATAAGTGGACAAAGGCTTATGAAAAACTTGGACCTGCCTGCTTATGGGTGTGAACAAGCATTTGAACGCGTTTGCAATCTAATACTTCCCTGATTGACATTATAAGGTAATTGATTGAAGATAACGTTTATTTCCTTAAAAACTGTGATTCATGACCATACACAAAGTCATCTAATGATTCTAAAAATTAGTGGAGTGTTCTCAAGCCTGCTACTGATTTTTAGAACTCCATTCCAAATAGATCAAGTATTTTCATCTTGGATTTTAGGCTTCCAAATACAAAGCCTTCCCCCTCAGAAGCATATGCAAGAATTTTACCAGTGATTTATGTTTTCCCTTCCTAGTACTTTGAACTTTACTGTATATAATCACATCATAAACAGGCTTGCGATTTAAGAAGTAATTTTGGTTTAGTATTATGTATACTGTATTTACTGATTTTCTTATTATAAAAATGTAAGTACAGAAAAGGTTTTATCTGGCACCCCCAATCATTCCCCATGGATGGGGCGTCACCATCCCTCCCAACACATCACCGCCCCTCCTGTGGGCCCCAAAAGACAGGGAGGTGGGCCCCGTGCAGCGTGCTATGCCCCAGGCTGTGGGGGCTCGGAGGAACCGGAAGTGCCCAGCGTGGCACTTCCGGTTTCACTTTCCCTTACAAGCCATCATGCTGGTTAATAGAACATGCCAGCTTGTAAGGTGCCAGTTAATGGAGCTTTTACTGTAGTTTGTTTATATATGCACAAAGGTTTTCTTCTTTGCAAAATCCACCTTATAGAAGTTCCCTGAAGGCAGTCTTCTACCAGATATTCACTTAGAGCTGAGTCATACTGTCGGACACTGATTTGCTACCACAACACGTTTCCTTTTTTTTTTTTTTTTTTTTTATTTTATTTTTTTTTAAGAAATAATCCCAATTTTTTGTTAGGTAAACTAATACTTTTTATAGAGAACTTCTTCACTGGTCAGTATCTATAAATGCTGGAGTAAAACTCTAAAGAATGCACCAATAGACACTGGGTACCCAGCCATGTACACCTTGTGTATTTTAAATCCTCTGCATGGAAAACACTAATAGCTTACTGTTTCAAGGCAACTAAGTAATCAAGTGTAAAACTAGAGCAAACACAAACAAAAGGTGCTCCTGAAAACTATTTAAGAGTTCTAAATTTGAAAATCAAGAGTATTCAAAGGATATATATAAGGATGCTACTCTATTTGTGTTTAGAAAAGGCATGTTCCCCGATAGCAGCTAAACAGTAGTAGTGTCAGACCTATAGGACTTTCCCTTCCCATCGTAAATGTAAAAGAGTGTTCAAAGTCAGCAAAGGTGTAAAAGGGAAAGAGCAAATATTTCTTGTACTGTTTGCATGGCAGAGCCAATGAAAGGGTTAATGCATTTTCTTTACAGATGCTAGGGCTGTGCAAAGCTTCAGTCGCCAAATTTCTGAACCCAAATTGAAATCAGGAGACCCTTTAAATCTCTCTGAATTGAATTGGAACACTCCGAATCGATTCAGACAGACACAGCTTTAAATGTTTTTTCTACATCCCTTACGGTACCAGGCAGCTTGTGAATGCTGAGATGGTGGGATGGATGGAGCATCCACAGGAGTGTGGGGAGTTGCCAGCGCACTCAGCAGCAGACCCACAAGTGGACCAGAAGCACTTCCAGTCCACTGGGGAGCGCACTGGGGGCCCCTCTGGCCCCCTCCAGCTCAGCGACTGGTGCCTCCTGGGTCTGGAGGGGCAGCCAGGGGCCCCCCGCAGCTGATCACTGAGCTGGGGGGCACGGGGGGCCCCCCCAGCTCACTTAGCGGCAGACCCGGAATTATTTCTGATCCACTTCCGGGTGCACTGACAAGCACGTGCGGGCCCTCCCGTGTGACACTATCTGCCCCACCATCACAGCGTTCACAAGCAGCACCTGGTACCTTGAAGTGTATAGAAAAAAAACATTTGAAGCAGTGTCTATGGCTGAATCGCCGATTCTCCAAATCAGCATCAAATCTTCAGATTCGGATTCAGCCAAATCAAACAGGGAATGTGATCCGAATCAACGAATTGAATCACTGTCCCTGATTCGGGCCAAATCCAAATCAAATATGGTCCATCTCCCACACCCCTAACAGAAACCATATAAATTTTAGAAACTGTGTTCTTGCATGCAAGGTTTATTAATAGTAAATATGTAATAATTTTTTACATGTAATTTTTTTAATGTAATAATAAATTACATTTAAGCCATCTAAGAAATCACAACTTTTTTCTAGAATCATAGAAAATTAGGGTTGGAAGGGACCTCAGGAGGCCATCCAGTCCAACCCCCTGCTCAAAGCAGGATCATCCCTAAGCATCTCATTCCCAGCCAAGGCTTTGTCTAGCCAAGTCTTAAAAGCCTCCAAGGATAGAGATTCCACCACCTCTCTGGGTAACCTGTTCCAATGCTTTACTACCCTCCTTGTAAGAAAGTTTTTCCAAATATCTAACCTCAACTTTCCTTGCTGCAACTTGAGACCATTGCTCCTTGTTCTGTCATCTACCACCACTGAGAACAGTAGATTACTCTTAGATGAATGTCACAAATAAGACATAACATTAAAAACAAATAGATTTCTGACTAGCACCTGCATGCCATAGCAGATTCCAAGAACAGGTTTGCCTATTGTAAAAATTGCTGGGTCAAACCATGGTGCATCCTCTGCATACACAGAATTTGGTCCTCCAGATATGATGATAGCCCTGCAAACAAGACAGATGTGAAAAAAGATTATACTTAACAGTTTAGCTAAAAAGCATTTATTTGCATTAAATGTCAACTCAAAGTCTTGCAAGACTTTCAGAGATTTGTATACTTCAACCATAAAATAAGGCGCACAAACTCTGACATACTGTGGTGCACAAGAGAGAGCAATTTCCAGGACAGAGAGCATATTGATTTATTTAACTGAACCAAAAAGACAACACAAAAACGAAACAAAAACAAACAAACCCCAAACAGAAAACCCATAAAGCTATCCTAAAACAGGAATGTAATGACCACATTCCCATTTCATAGCCAGGTGTTGAATTGTGAGGGGGGAAAAAAGTGTAGATCATGAACTACTACTGCTAAAGCATTCATGCTTCATACTGTTTAGAAGTGCAGGTTCTAGCTTCTTCGACTGGCATAAACACGCTTTTACACTTGCTCAGATAACGGCCATCAAATTAGGATGATAATAAAGTAAGGGGGGAATAGACACTAAAACCGACAGAGTAAGCAAATTCGACTGATGTGATAAGGTCTGACATCACGTCAACATCTAGGGCTTGAAATTAATTCTTAATGCTAGCAGGAAACAGCATTCCATCTTCTCAAAACATAGTTAGAAGAGACTTTCTTTCCATGTTGGTATATAAGATATTGATCTTCATAAATTTTCAGTAGTCTAGTGATGGGCTTTTTTGGTATTGCTCCAGGACTGAGTTTAACGATGCATCAAACCTGGGATTGGTGTACTATTTATGCCATGTAGAACAAAGTTTGAGGCATTACTGGGGCACAGGAGGAAGAAGTGGGGTTAAACATTAAGAAAAAACAAAAATGTCTTGAATACTGTATCTCAGGGGTTTTCAACCTTTTTGGTTCAGTGTACCCCCAGTGACCGGTTGAGAAGGAGTTCCCTGGCGGCCAGTAGATGGAACACACACACGGTGTCCTCTGTGGCCAACTGGCAAGCATGCCAGTGTGGTGACAGAAGTGCTGGCAGCATGGCAGTGACACCCGCTGCCTAGTACCCCCTGAGGCCATCCCAAGTACTTCAAGGGGTACATGTCAAGGGAATATACATTGGTAGTAGGGGTGCACCAATGAAGATTTTTTGGGCTGATACCGATAGCTAATTATTGGCTAGCCATATTGGCCGATACAATCCGATTGCTGACGTGCAGCTCAGCAACTTGGAGAGCAGCGTCTGGCTGGTAAGCTTGTTGGGGGGGGCTGGGGGGGAGGGGGAGGAGAACAGATCGAGGCCCCTGCAGTGACAGAGGGAGTGGGGGGGCTGGGGCAGGCACTGCAGTCAGGGCGGGACAGAGTCAGAGGCAGCTCCCATCACTGCATGCACCCCTGGGGAGGCATGAGGGGCATGTGCCCCCTGGATCCGTGTGCAGGGCAAGGACGGGCTGCCGCTGCACATTTAGGGCCAGGGACTACGCCAGCCTCTTCCCAGCAGCTGCTCTCAGGCCAGGCAGCAGTGATGCTGGGAGGGGTGTTATGGCCACCCCAAAATTTGCTGTAGCCTAGTGAAGAGCCCAGAACAGCCTCCAGCCCCACGCATGCAGTGGCAGTCCACCCTCACCCCACAAACAGATCCAGGGGGCACACATGCAGTGGCAGAAGCCACCTCCCTTCGCTCTTAGTGCAGCTGCGCACATACATATGGCATTTATTGGTGACATTAATTGGCCACATCAGGCAACAAAAGCTGATCGCCAATAAAGTCAATTTTGCTTTTATCGGTGCTGATACAATATGAACTAATGTATCGGTGCACCTCTATTTGGCAGTATCTATAAGTGCTAGAGAAAGTTAACCATGCAATTCCATCCAGACATGTATGGGGGGAGGGGGGGAGAGGAGGGGAAACCCCCCCACCCCCAAAACTAAATTTAATTAAAACAAAAAACAAAACAAAACAAAAAAACAGCCCTAGGAACACAATTGGTATTTTACAGTTTAAAATAAAACAGCATATTATGTTATGCCTCTTTAAATTGGCATAAACTTTGTTTTACTAAGGCAGAATTGGAACAAGCGCTCTATACACTATAAAGCACCCCCCCAGACATCATGACCATAAAAGCAAATGTCTGGCGTAACTTGTTTAAAAAAAAAAAAAAAAAAAAAATCACTAGTCACATACTGAGTCTGCTAAAATCTAAAACCACTAAAAAGAGCCTGAACATACAATCACTCAAAGTTATTTCTTCTAGATCCCTTGTACCTAACTAACTTTCTCATTAAATACCACACGGATAGAACATTTTATGTTAGAGGGAGGAAGAGGAGCCATGCCTTCTAAAACTTCTAGCCTACTATGGAAAAATAAGTTAGATGTTATCCTATGGACAGGGCATACCAAAATGTGCTTCTTAACTGTCTATGACCAAAAGTCTACTAAAGTATAATTTTGTGTTGGTATACACCACTGGTTGCATACCAGTAGGCTACTGGTATGCAACCAGTGGCCCAACCGCGTGTTAGAAAAAAAAAAAAAAAAAAATCAGTAATAAATTACAAATTGAAAGTGTACTCTCGAACTTTAAAAAGTGTTTCTGTGGATAGAGCTAAAGTGGGATAAATGTGCAAATTTCAAGAACTGTTGGTATACCATCCAATTCAGTAGGTACAAATTTATTTGCTAGGAGCATGCCTTTTTCCCAGTTTAGCCTAAACCCCTTCTAAAATTACAGAAAATCAGAAAAGGAATTGTATCAGAATACGAGCATCCACACAGGTAGTTATAATGATATTCCTGCGTGACTGCTTATCTACTCACATAGCATGCATGTATTAACATGCTAGTGACTACTTATGATTTTTTTTTTTGTTCTATTCCCTCTATGATTTGCCTATTTGGAAATGCACAAGGAAGATTTTTACCTGCAATATTTTACAGTTAGGGTGGCCAGAATCTGGAAAAAGCTTTCCAGGGAAGTGGTCCTCGCCCCTACCTTTGGCAAGTTCAAGAGGAGGTTGGACGATCACCTGTCTGGGGGTCTTGTGAACCCAGCATTCATTCTTGCCTGTGGCAGGGGGTTGGGCTTGATGATCTATTCAGGTCCCTCCTGACCCTAGGTACTATGAAACTAAGAGTAAAGCAGGCTTATATTTTTTCTCAAATTGTTCCCATAACTAAAAATTTCCTATTGCTTAAGATCAGGCATCTTGTGGCAATTGCTAATAGCAGTTTGCCTGGCACTGAACACACTTATGCATTTAAGAAAATCCCACCCAATACCTTGTATAAACACCCCTGTTTTTACTGTTCTGAAGATAGAACAACTTGCAAATCAGGCCTTCTCTTTTATGCACACATGGTAAGATTTGGAAAAGCACATGGAGATAGGGCATAATAGTTACTGTAAGGTCAATGAGAATGTGAACTTACAGTATATTAGCTGTGCCATATTAAGCACTTGTGTGTACTCTCCTTCCTTGTCATATATGAGAGAGCGCCCACCTCCCAAGAAAAGCAGAGTAACAGCACACTGGTGGTTACTGAAGCATAGCTGAGGTGCTGTAATTTTGCACCCAAGCTGACCTTATGGTAACTTGTTTGTATGGCTATATGGTTAAGTGACTTAGATACCCAAGTCACTCTCAGGAAAAAAAAAAAAAAAAAAGAGAGAGACTGGTCACCTGAGGTTTTACTTTATAATTTTTTTTTTATTTTTATATATATATATATATTTTTTTAAATTATAGAGCTACACAATGGATTCAGTTGATGGAAGCAAGACAGAGCTTTCCTTAGCCAAACCAACTCTCAGACCTGCATCTTGCTTGCCACAGAGGATCAACTTTATTTAGATCAGTGCATAATGCAGCTTCTATTCCTATTTAATCATTAGTCTGAATGACAATGTCAGACTCTTTGCACCCTATTTAATCATTAGTTTGGAAGCCAGACACTATGCACTGTATTTGAAACCTTCATTTAAGAATTGCAGTAAGCACCAACTTTTATCACAAAGATCAATAAACATCAACAAATAGCTATCTTCAATCTCTGTTGACCGGACCCAGATTTAAGCAAATGATTGCAGAGGTGGAAACCCAGAGTATGAAGTTTATTGGTTGTTTTGCATTGTATTGTAGATATTTGTCAGCCTTGGAACAGTGACCATTTGAAAGAAGATATTTTGTAAAGTTGTAAAAGGTAATTTGCAGAGCAACAAACCTGGTAGGTGATAGCAGAACTACTCCCTTAATAGAGTGGTTTTAAAGAACATTAGTTAGAGTGTTGCAAGGAGCTTCTCTTTTTAAAAAGAAATAAAAGCCCCCAAGCACAGGCATGCACACACACTACCAAGCCACTAACTGGGCTCCTGTGTAGTTAGGTGTAAATTGACTTAAATTGTTTCTAATATGATATCTGAGTAGGCAATCAAGAATTTCTTTTTAAAAACGTAGGCTATACGTGAAGCCCACTTTTAAAAAAAGATTTGATTGTGGTATCTTAAAAGCAAGACCTAGTAGCAATAAGTATTTTTCAGCTTCATTTGTGAAAGGAAAAGAATTGCAAACCTAATACAAGATTTCAAGCCATTTATTTTTTCTAAATGAGCACAGTGAATTCAGATTTGTGGCAGCATAATGGTGCCAGTCTGCAATCTACTAGTTCAGTAGTAACTATTAGCTAGAAAAATACAAATTCAATGAAGTAATCTATCTTGTATGGTTTATCCAGCACAATAGTAAGATGCGTGCCTTATGTTTCTGGATTTTTAAACTGGTATTAAGGGGTCATGATAATGGGAACTCGAGTTATTTGCATACATTTTTAGGACTTATACATTTCTACTCCAACCATGCAGTTCATCCAATAAAAGATATCACCCACAAGAATTCCTGGACCATCATGGCAACATCACCTCAATACTACTAGGACTTTTAGTAAACAGAAAGAGGTATACACCTGAAAACTATTAAAAAAAAAAAAAAAAAAAAAGACGACACATATATGGTACTAAAACTAGGATAACTTTTTCCCCCACCTCTCTCTAGCCTCAGGGGCCTATAACAGCCTTCCACCTCCTACTATCTTGCTCCATCTCCTTTTACCTTGTTGCATTTTTGCCTATCCCTTCCAAAATCAGTTTATCACCTTTTCCCCTAGAAAACACTAGTGGGGAACCACTTGATTTTTTTGTTTTTGTTTACTTGCTTACCAGAAACAGTTTCACATGGCAAAGTATACTGCCTTTGGTTTAATATGCAATTCACAGATGGAAATTTAAATATTTAAATGTTATGTAAACTTAAGTTAAAGAGAATTATGCAAGAACATCGTAAAAGAAAAACTGTCAACATTACTTAAAATTTGCTGAAGTCACAGTTAACCCATATGTTAACTGGAAGAACTAATAAGTCTTATGTATGTATAAAAATCAACTTCAAAGGCTGCATCACCAGAGGAACTGGCCTTAACACGTACATGCACTCCTAATTCTTCTGCTTCCCAAATTAAGTTGAGCAGCAAACTATAGCATGAAAAAGTATATGTAAAT